GTCTGTCTCGCACACGCCTCGACCACCCTTCCAGTGTTATTATTACATACTTAGCTAACTTAGACCATTTTGAATTCTAATAAGTGTTACATTATCGTACGTAAATAGTTCTAGCGACGCGTGTGTCCATAAATTACCAATTTTAGGAGGAAATTTTGAGTCACTTTATTTAACTTCTTTTTTTGCACAAATGGGATCAGTATCAATAACTCATTACCCAGAATTTTTTTTTTCGGTGATAAAAATTTAGTGGTGTATTATTAAAAAGTTTCGCAGATAAAAACTGAAATCCTCTTATAAGGTGATGAATTTTAGGAGCATGTCATGAAACCAAAATTATTAGCATGGTGATGGGGAATTTACTGCGGCGTAGTAGCAGAGATTTTCCGTTTGTAGATCGTATTAATTTCGAAGAATAGGGATGTTTCGTGGATAAAGCAAGAAAGTAGCAAGAGTTTGAATTAGTCCGTCGGTGAACTTACCAAAAAAAACTCGTCCGTTGTCGGCCGTTTGGTGTAGTGGTTCAGAACGGACTACTATGCCGAGAGGTCCCGGGTTCGATTCCCGGCCGGGCAGAAATTGAAATGATGAATTTTAATTTCTGTGACGGGTCTGGGTGTGACTATGTATAATATGTATGTATTTAAAAAAAAATAGTATATAAGTAGTATATCCGTTAACCTAGCACCCATAACACAAGCATTAAGTTGCTTACTTTGGGGCTAGCTGGCGCTGTGTGAAATTGTCCAAAGATTTATTTATTTATTTAGTTATTTACTCTAAATGTATTTTTCACTTTTTTAAACTTATGAAAATTTAGAGATGAAGCGCACCAAAGTGAAAAAAACCAAACGCAATGAGGCACATGACGTCAAGGCATGCTTAAAAATGTGGCGATTTGTGTCGTCACGCGGAATTTCATCGCATCATATCTTAGTAATTACTTGTTTAATTGACAAATAAAAATATCCTGTGTCCAATATTTTTTGATAATGTAAACTTGACGGACCAAAAGTCTTTTTTAAAGAAACTAGCCTATTCCTATGGCCACATTCCAGCTCCATCATCAGACCCTGCAGTTTACCTTAGAGAATTGAAGACTCATGATTTTCAAAGTAAACAATTTTTAGAAAATTGTAATGAAATTATTTAGGTATAATAATAAATAAATACAAATCAAACGAGCCTAAACTCGATGGAATCGTTTAATCCCGGAGTTGCTATGGGGCCACTGGCATTCCAGCTCTACCATCAGATCAGCTCCATGTCATCACAATATTGAATTGTCACACGTATTACATGTATATCCGAAATTTTAACTCAATCAATTGATGAAGGATTTCTAATAAAAAGACAAATACATTTTCAGTTTATTCTTCATAAGTGACACAGAGAGAATGACAATAGACAAAAGCAGAAACATTTGCTTTTTTAAGCCATAGACAATACTAGGNCAGTGCTCAGTGGCGAGCCTCTGCACTGTCTGCTGTTGCTGTCCATTGTTGCTGTCTGTTGTTGCTGACGTTGCCTCCATAGCAGGTATGTTGTGGTTTCTTCTTCGAACTCATCCACCTCTCCGCTGAGTTAGGATAAATTATTAGAAACATGGAACTCGGTGATGTGTCCGCAATTTAGTGAATTTTGTTCAAAAGGTGACGATGGTGCCTGAGAGTCGTTCCCCGACCATGGCTGGCCGATATGTACACTACCGAGGCCGTCCACCGCGGTCCAGGGCTACCCTACTTCATAGGTTGGTTCCGTTTTCTATTGAGCTTGTCAATTATTTTAGTTTACTTTGAAAAAATAGATTACCCACAATGATTACATTTTACCAAAAAGTAAATTCTTAAATAAATTTACCATTGTGATGTATTATCAATGGATTTTGTTGTGTTAACTATTTTTAGTTCGCTTTGTGAAGGTCGATGATGTAATAATTACAAAGATTACATTTTACCAAAATGTTAGTTCCTAAATAAATTTACCATTGTGACGTATTATCGATGGATTTTGTCGTGTAAACTATTTTTTGTTCGCTTTGTGAAGGTGGACGACGAAATAATTATGATGATTACATTTTACCAAATGTTACCTTCTAAATCGATTTACCAGTGTAATGAATTACCGTTGGATTTTGCTGGATTCACATTTGCTCCATCCTCGAGAGCGATGGATTATTGTTTTTAAATTGTTTATATTATTATGTATGTTGCTGTTTGTATAATATGATTTTTTATTGTACAATAGGAGGTGTATGGTACCGGCTGCTCTGTTGGCACCGGCTATCAGGTGTTTGGCACCGGCTGTCCCGCAGTGCCAGACGCTTGCTGCGCCCGACGGGTGCGAAGGGGGTTGAGCCGAGTGGTGATATTAGCGCGCTGATCTTAGTCTAGTATTTTTAGTCTGTACCAACCAAACGGCCCAACGACCCATCCCTTAATTTTTTCTTTTTAAATATTTGTGTCAACCACAATAAATAGTTATCAATTTAAAAAAATATTTTTATTTTGCTCCGGCAGAAATTTCATATTTACACTATGTATAAATATATTTAAGTATTTATTAATGTTAGTATTAAGCTTGTTTTGTATGGGAGAAAATAAATAATTTATTATTATTATTATTATTATTATTTTTGTANTTGACCCTAATTTCCCCTCAAAAGGGGAATTTCCCCTCAATGTGGAAACACTGCCCATAACCTATCGGAATTCTTGTTTAAATGAAAGCCCCATAAGTAAAAGTAATCAGTGACATTTATTTTTAACTTCTCAATTATAATCTAATTAAACCTACGCACAACACGTCCGCCATTGCGAGTACGAGGGGACCGGGGATGAGGGTGTCATTTTGACAGCTCCACAGATAAAGTATTTTATCGAATAAGACCGAATGAATGATTATATTCAACAGGTATTCTTGCGATTTGTCATTCAGTTTGTGTGCGGAGCGTCTACGTATTTTCTACTAAAATTATGTTTATTTTACTTGTAAAGTTGTAAATTACATGGTTTGTGGACAATATATTTATAATGAAAATATGTGAGACATGGGGGTGTGAAATTTGTGGCGCAGGAGTAAGTGGAGTGAGAGAAATGTACCTAATATGGATGGTACATTTTCAGCCAAATTGGAGAATAAAAGGTTGGTAAATTGGCATGTTGACATCTTAAATCTTAGTAGTACGTAAATAACTTAGTTACTACTTGGTTAAAACAGTTAATAAACATAAACATTTCATAAAATAAAATAAGTTTGACATAATACTGTGGTGCCCATAGATCATTTATTTTACCGATTATTCCGGTATATTTTTTAACCCTGACAATTAATTTGTCTAATTGCGATCTAAAATGACTTAAAATTTCAGATTATAATATGTTATTCATTTATTTCGATGCTGTGGGTGGACGTCCCACGCTGCGTTTTCCATTATTATCAATATTCCTAAAAATGCTTTTCGTTCGTCAACTGCTAAATTCAGTGTATTATTTGAATAAAAATTGCTATAAGTAATTATATCCTGAAACAATGTGTTTGTAAAAAACATCATAAATATTTGCCTTCAGGTTCAGAATGTCCAATGGTTTCAAAATGTCCAATTCCCGGAATGCCCAATTCCCAAAATGTCCAATTCCTGAAATGTCCAATTCCCAAAACGTCCAATTCCCGTAACGTCCAATTCTCAAAATGTCCAATCTACTATTTTGATGGATTTGTTGAATAAGACCCAAATGGCACCTATTGTGTGCCGGAAACCACATTTCCGGCACACAATAGGTGCCATTGATTGTACACACGTACGAATGAAAAAAGTTGGTGGGCTATCCAACCAATATTACATTAATAGAAAAGGGTTTTACTCATTGAATATCCAAGTGGTATGCGATGCCAAATTGAAGATAAGGGACAATGTGGCAAGGTGGAGGGGTAGCACACACGACTCAAGAATATTTAATGAGAGTACCATCAAGGAGAGATTCGAAAGGGGGGAATTTTGTGGGCGGCTCATTGGAGATGCTGGATATTCCTTTTTTATTCACTCCAGTGAATACTTCTTCGGCTTGTGACCCGCCGTCACAAGCCGAAGAAGCGTACAATCGAGCACAGATCCTCACCCGGAACACCATTGAAAGGTGTTTCGGGGTGTGGAAGCAGAGGTTCCGCTGTTTACTAACAGGGTTCACGGTCAACTTGGAGAATGCCAAGTTGTATACTGTGGCATTGGCAGTGCTACATAACATTTCCATAGACATGGGGGAGGAATTAGAGAACCTGGAGCCACCAGCGAGCAGACAAGTGCACCCAGTGACAACCCCACAAGCAGGTTCATCTGAACATGTTCGGGTCAGGTTTTGTATTTCAATAAATAAAAACTAGTAAATAATAAATGTGCTTAAATAACAATTATGCAAGGTCATACAATATAACGTTATTTTGTAGATGTCTGCTAGTTGCACGAGCCTTGCACTATAACCCGGTCACTGCTGGGAAAATAGTAAATGCTTGCTGCGTGCTGCATAATATTGCAAACCGAAGCCGATTGCCGGTGACACCTCTTTCACCTGAGGAAACCCATGTAGAGAGGGTACGACAGCATCAAGTAAGTCTTCACAGGATTGCTTTATTCCCATATGATTACTGTATATTATTGTAAGTTATGATGACATTTGAATCCAATATACAGTTAAAAAATATTTTCTCAGATTGAAAGTGAAATAGCAGCATCAGCGTCAGCACATGGACTATAAGAACCAAACTGACGCGTCAACCTCAGGGTTGACGCGTCAGTTTGGTTCTCCTCCTCCATAGAGGAAGAATGATGCAAAGAGCCCTCATAAAGAGGTTATGGAGAGAACAACAGAATTCAAATTAAACATTTATTTCGGTATTTTGATTTTTTATTTATAAATAAAACTTAATAGTTAAATACCTAAAAACTAAAAATTATTCACTATCAGAATCAATTATTTTTGACATCCTTTTGAATCCTTTTGACACGGTGTTCCTGAAAAAGAGGAAAATAGTTTTAATTTAAGAAAAGATGCACAAATTAAAAACTAAGTTTGTCAATTTATCACTACGCCTACTCTGCAAACATAATATTTTTATAATTATTAATATTCTAATGTTACATAATTATGTGATTTACCATTTGCGGTTGATCCTCTAATATAATTTTAAAGGGATCTTTCAGCCTGTCCCCTAAGCAGTGTTTTTTTAACCCCAAAGTGACATTCTGTTTTTATCACTAATATCCAAAGTTTAACTTATTATTAATGTTAGACTAAAACACCCAGGTGACAATTGGCTATAGTTTTTTTTTTATATTTTAGAAAATTGACCTTTTACTGGGACAAACTAGAATTTTATTATTATTTCGAGAAAAGTACACACTAAGCTTCTCTTTGCATATGTAGGTTGGTGTATGGCGAATATTATTGCACCTATAATTATTCAAAAGTAGTTATAGGAACGACAGAATATTTTTTTTTTAAATTTCAGGAATTATTATTTTTCTTTTTTTCTACGCCGAAGTAGAATCTCTGTTTAGGTCAGATAATTTTTTTAAAACAAGCTTGTATCACTTATAATTTTTCTATATTCTAACTCGGCGGCAATTTCGAGAAAAAGTATTTTTTTCCAAAATGTTAGTGTTGACACAAAAATTGACCTTACGTAATTCCATCTTCTTTAGGGTTCCATGGCCAAAGGATGCTAATATTATGCCTCCATTGTCTGTCTGTCTCATAATAATAAATAAATAAAATAGTTACTCCTCTAATGTAATATTTTTTATTGCTCGAATTTATAGCGTCAAATTAATTTTAATTAGCGTTTAAAAGATATTTTTTCAATGAAACGTTGTGTGTAGCACGGGAAGGGGTCCACCCTCGTTAGGCTTTAGCTAAACCCCGTGCTAGGACACGCAACTTGGAGGAACGGGGGTGAGGCACCATGGAGCCGTTACAGACCCATGGCGCCGCTTTGCCTCAGCAGGGGCTTACCCAACCTGCTGAGGGATGTCCGTCCGGGCCTCGACCGGAGGACTTAATGCTAGAGGGGCATGAGGGCGCCAACCCTCATGTTGGTACACGAGTGGCAAGCGTAGCTGTGGACGACGCCACAGCCGGTACTTCTCAGCCTCTGAAAGTAGCCGCAAGTATGCAAAGAGGATGCACTAGACTACATTTATACGAGTGCTTTTCGGAAGAAAGTAAAAAAATACGAAAATTAGGATCACCGGAAGACTTTCCTTTCTCTGAATTACTTAAAATAGTAAAAAGAGAAATGGGAAACAGTTTCAAACCGTCATTAACATCTACTGACTGTCTCATAAATATAATCAGTAGTTTTCTTTCTAAAACAATGAAAATGTTCAGAAATTGCAAAAGCAACAAAACTCTGTTTAAAAAGAAACATAAGATGTGTTTGGAAAAAAAATTCTTTGTGACATACCTGAACAATTAAAGTCACACGATGATCGCAACAACATGGGGACCACATATTTGATTGCTGGCAGTACAAGTACAGAACAATATGCGGATTCAGAACCTAGTACTTCGAGTACTTGCCAGCCCAAAATCTTGACTTAAAGACAGGAGCTAAGAAACAAAAAGCGCCTAGCAGAAGTATTTGAAAATGAACCACCAAGTAAAATCGTAAAGACCTTTATTTCCGCTATTTCGACATCGTCTGAACCACAGTTGACCTCTAAAGCTGCTAAAGATTTAGAATCATTAATTAAAGTATGTCTTGAATCTCCATCTAAAGCTACAGAGATTTGTAATAAATTAAAATCAGCGTCAGAACAGCGACCCTACACCCCGGATGAAACTTTGAGTATTATGATAGACAGACAATTTAGTGTATAGACTTATAAAGAAAGACAACAAGATCTCAAAAGTCGGGGATATGATGTTTATCCACCTTACGCACAAGTCCTGAATGCAAGGAAAGCTTGTTACCCAAATGAAGAAATTATAGTGTCATATAGAAGCATCAGTTTGATTAGAAGGGTTGCTGACACATACACTAAAGCGAATTCTACATAGTTGCGAAGAAAGTTTTACTGCATTTTGCGATCGTAAAGGTATAAAGTGCGTTTTCGAAGGATCTTGGGGTTTTGATGGCAGTACTGGACTAGGGTTGCCAACCGTACTATAATATATAGTATTGTACTATATTTCGGGTCTGCGTACTATATACTGTTGAAAAAATATATAGTACGCAAAAATACTATATTTTCAACACCGACAAATCTAACAAATAAATCCTTCGTTTAAAAAAAATAAGAACGCGCCTTTAAAATAACNTATCAAAATCAATTATTATTCTTCTCCTTTTGACACGGTGTTCTTGAAAAAGAGGAAAATAGTTTAAGAAAAGATGCACAAATTAAAAACTAAGTTTGTCAATTTATCACTACGCCTCTGCAAACATAATATTTTATAATTATTAATATTCTAATGTTACATAATTATGTGATTTACCATTTGCGGTTGATCCACTAATATAATTTTAAAGGGATCTTTCAGCCTGTTCCCTAAGGCCTCGAGCGCTGCGGCTATTTGTGGCTTGTGCGTCCTCTCGAGTGGCTTGCGCACTTGCATGCTCCAAGGCCTCCAATCTCTCCGTTGCCCTGCGCAAAGACGGATCTTCTAGTTCTATAAAAAAGTTATTATCTTTATATTGACCTACTGACAACACATACAAATGAAATAGAAATTTTATGCATACTGCATAAAATATACATATTTAAATTAGATAGAATGTTGGTGGTAAAAGCTTACCAGTAACTTCCTGACGCCGACGACGACGTCGCCGCGGAACAGACTGCTTAGAGATCCGTCTAGCCTGAGAGCTTGCAGGCTGATATTGTTGGCTTTGGACTCTACGCTCCGCAGACTCTCTTAAAGCCTGAGAGGCTGTATAGTCAGACTGGTCTGTTGGAACCATAGGCTCACGAAGCTGAGAACCTGAGGGCCCAGGGCGGTGCTCAAAATCAATAAACTCAATTTGAGGAGATCTAAAATGATAAAATGTTGAAAATGAAAAAGTCAAGTCATTAATTTTGCATACCTATTAAAAATATTGAAAAAAATTAAGTTTACCCAGGATCATCTTGTGGCATTTCATCAACACTGGAAATAAAAACACCTGAATTAGCATAAAGAAGTGGGGACTCCATTGATATTGTATACAAGTTTTAGCAGAATACCAAATTTGTCTCAATCGTAATNTCCTGTATGGAATCGTAATTGAATATCAATTGAATAACAATAGTATGTCATTGGGGCCCAGTATTGGACGCCATGTATGAGGATGCAAAAGAAGCCATCAATAATGATAACCTTGATTGGTCATTCGAATTAGCAGACTATGATCACTTGTTTCCCAGTACGGCGATATCGTCACTGGATGTAAAAAATGTGGAACAGCTCCAAGACCTATTAGAAAAGAATTCAGATGTTTTTACACCTAATGGTCGTCCGGCATCTATAGTTGAACATGCAATAGATACGGCAAATCATAAATAAAGCGATTCATCAACCAGGAAGCAGCGGATTTACTTTCTGTGCTTAATNACCCTAACTCCCCTTCCTATTTGAAAACACAGTTTAAACTTCTGAGTTCGACGCACGCACGTCAACTTCGTTCGTCCAACACGCTCCTTCTCTCCACTCCTTCCCACCGCACTGGTTTCCTCTCTAATTCATTTCTCCTCAATTCCATTCGCCTTTGGAACGCTCTTCCCGAGAACATCAGGCAGGCTCCTAGTAAGTTTGTTTTCAAACACTCTGTGCGCAAACATTTTCTTGAACGCATCATGTCGTCTTGATCTCCCTTATTCTTTCCTTTTCTCCCTTATCCTCTCCTATCCTCCCTTACCTCTCGTCATCCATTTTATATAAATTATTTATGTATGTATTTATGTATTATATCCCAACTAATATTATAAATGCGAAAGTAACTCTGTCTGTCTGTCTGTCTGTCTGTCTGTCTGTCTGTCTGTCTGTTACGCTTTCCCGCTTAAACCTCGCAACCGATTTTGATGAAATTTGGCATAGAGATAGTTTGAGTCCCGGGAAAGAACATAGGATAGTTTTTATCCCGGTTTTTGAAACAGTGACGCGCGCGATAAAGTTTTTCTGTGACAGACAAAATTCCACGCGGGCGAAGCCGCGTGCGGAAAGCTAGTATTTTGTATAAATATATATTATAATATTTTATGTATTATATTGTGTACATTTTTGTAGCTTTTTAGCACCGCCTACTAAATATCTCTGTTTTGCTCAAGGTCAGCTGGTAGAGAATGACGTATGGCATTAAGCTCGCCTTTTTGTACAGAACATTGTTGTGTGTGCAATAAAGTCTTTAAAATTAATAATGGCTCTGACTTCATTAAGTCAAACAAAAGTAAATTTTCACCCGAAGTGCGAAGATTTGTTTTAAATCTTCATTTCATCAGTCCACGCAGCTATAATTATGTACGCCAGCATTTTAAAACTTGCCTGATTTTCATCTGAACCTCTTCAAGCTATAGAAAAAATTGCAAAAATTTTCTGGTTTATGGTGTCACTGCAGAACAAAAATCTTCTTTAGTCAAGACATGCATAGATCTTGTTAGCGCACGTGGGGTGGATATTGTTTCCCTTACTTTTGATGGCTGCCCAGCTAATTTTTGGATGGCTAGAGTGTTAATAAATACAGGATTAATAACATCAGCATCTAGTTGGCAACCCACTAGATGCTGATGTTATTAATCCTGTATTTATACACAAAGAAAAAAAGTGACAATTTTCCCCGATCCCTCCCACTGAAATTAGTGAGAAACACACTTGGCGGTAAAAAAAATCCTAATCAATGGCGAAGGAAAAACTATAGCTTGGCATTTTTTGCAATCTCTTGTGGAACTCCTAGAAAATGAAGGTAGTTATCTATACCTACTATATAAATCTCTTGGTAATAAAGTTCGAGTAGCTCATATTAACTACAAGAAACAAATAATGAAGGAGAGACTAGCGGCCCAATTATTTAGTAAATCTGTAGCCACTTCAATTGAATTCTGTAAGGATAGTTTAAAACTATATCAATTCCAAAAGCCACAATAGAGTTTATTAAAAATTTTAATACATTATTCGATATTTTAAATTCATGAAATTTAAGAGCTTTTGGTTGCAAAAAAACCCTTAATATTAATAATTTCGCAAATTTTTCAAATGCTTAATGAAATTTACGGCTACATAATCAGTTTAAAAATTGGTTCAACGAACATTTTGCAAACAGAAAAACTGGTTTCTTAGCCTAAGAACCCTAAGGGTTCCTAATAGCAATAAAAAGTACTATATTTTTATTTAATGAGTATGTCAAAAACAATATTTTGCAATTTTTATCCACTTATAAATTTGGCCAGGATCACCTGCAAATATTTTTAGTGCCGTGAGAGCTAAGGGGGGATTTAATAATCAACCCAACAGCTATACAATTTAAATCTGCTTTTAAAAGATTGTTAGCGCATGGCGAATTGAAAATCCTACTTCCGGCAATTGCGTGCCACTGACCGACATAAACATTTTGGTTTATAGCAAACCAGAAATCGCTATAAATAAAACAACCGATCGGAATAGATTATTAGACGAAGATCTAAATCTTTTTCAAGATTTAAATAATGAAGGACAAGGACCAGGACTACATTTCAGACCCAACAAGGATAACAGAATTTACACGTTCTTTAATTATTATTTATATTGCGGGCTTTGTTGTCAAAAGTTTGAAAAAATCAATTGAAATGTCAGGATTGCTTATTATTAATAGTTGCAGAAGATAAAAATTCAAATACCCTGCAATATAAAAAAGACAAGGGTGGCCTGCATCATCCTTCACGATTCTAAATAAAAAACTTGAATCGAAAAACTCGACTATAGATGACCCACGCTGAACGGTCCCACCAAACTCAATGACAGGGGGGCGCTACCATCGTTCAACTATATGGTTTCCAACATGGCAAAAATCGGAACCAGCGATTCGGTATTGACGGTGGCGCCCCGCTGTCAATATCATCGATAGGACAGTTCAGTATTTTGGAACTATAACATTTTGTTGCGTGTGTCAATCCCTAGGATGCCTCGCAGCTCACTCGTCTTCACTCGCGCCACAACTCGCGCTGAGAAATGTTTACAGAATGCCGAATCAATATCATTTTGTAATTAATTTGAAGGGAGGCTGGACATCGACGGGAGAAGGGAGTTTTTGTCTGAACTTTATAGAATCGATATACTGATTGGTCATTCGAATTGGCAGACTATTATCACTTGTTTCCCAGTACGGCAATATCGTCACTGGATGTAAAGAATGCGGAACAGCTCCAATACCATTAGAAAAGAATTCAGATGTTTTTACACCTAATGGTCGTCCGGCATCTATAGTTGAACATGCAATAGATACGGGAAATCATGCACCAATATCGCTGCCGCCTGCCACGCTATAGGCTTAGCCCACCAAGAAAAGAAATTCTTAAAAATGAAATAGATAAAATGCTGCAAGAAGGTGTTATAAACCCATGTTCATTACGTCATTATTGGACGAGTACGGGTTTGTGTAGATTACCGTCAACTAAATAACATAACAGTTCCGGACGTGTACCCAATGCCTGATTGCCAGGATGATCTCCTACACGATGCTAAGGCCTTCATGTCAACGTTGGATTTACGTGCTGAGTACTGGCTAATTAAGGTTAAAGGAAAAGACCAAATGAAGCCAAGAAGTAAGACGATACATACAGTACCTCTAGTAGGAAAAACTTTCGAGTTCGTTTCGTTGCGTATTCAAAGTGTCATCGAAAAATTTTGTATGAAAAATTAAACAGCGCCCCCTATATTATAGCCGCCCTAGGGGGCGCTGTTTAATTTTTCATACAAAATTTTTCGATGACACTTTGAATACGCAACGAAACGAACTCGAAAGTTTTTCCTACTAGAGGTACTGGTCACTTGCATGGTGTATCGCAACCAGTCATCAGCAAAACATGCAAAAAGGTGGCAGAATGCCTCTAAAGGTTCGGACAAACCAACGCGTGCAGCGATGGCGATGGCGATGGCGACCACTGCGCGTGCAAAAGTTGTTTCACACTGCCGCGACCGCGATGGCGATCACTGTGCGTGCAGGTTGTCACCAGCCTGGCGCCACCAGTCCAAAGAGAAAAAACGATCGTATGAAACGGAAGCGAATTTATAAGGCGTCTATGTTCGAAAGATTATTCAAACCTACAAAGCAGTGGACAATTGACGGCATTCGAATTTAGGCGGATTGTACTTCGCCGCCATCTTAGACCGCCATGACAGGTGTCATTTCATTTGTCTTTTGTTGTTGTGGTTGTTCGGTCTGATTTTTTGCTCTTTTTGCAAGTAATCTACCTAAGTTTCTAAATAATTGCGTCTATAGGCATTCAAAACAATCAAATAAGTAAAAAAATGAGTGGATTTAAAAGGAAAAAGTGCGAAATTTGTCAAATAAAAACATGTAGAATGGACGGACAAAAAAGAATTTTCATGGCAAGATTTCCATTAGAAGAAGATCGGTAAGTACAAAATGTATATTGTTACCGTGTGTTATACTATGTAATTCATAAATTTCATTGCAAAATAAGGTAAAAACGGGTAAAATAAAAGGTATAACCTTAGTTGCATGTAAACAATAGTGCTGCCAAGTATAGTGTTTGTAAGTTTTATCGATAATTTTCGTTTCAATTTAAAATTCAGTACCTGGGTGACCGAGCGGACTTCCTTGGGGATGAGACCTAGCTAGATCGACTTTAACTAAATAACAGAACATGCAAATTTTAATCTAGTCTTCTTTTCAGCTGTAGAGAATGGGTAGCAGCTACCGGAAACAAAAATTTGATTAATGTGCCTATAGAAAAATTGAACCAATTAAAATATGTTTGTGGCAAGCACTTTGTTACAAAAGATTTCAAGAAAAAGAAAACGCAGTTAAAGAAAAATGCTGTTCCACGTATTGATATTGCTAAAAATCCGTTACCAGATGACCTGTTCCACAGCTTTCCATTACACATCCAACATATGGCTCAAAGTAACACAAGGAAAAATGTTTTACACGATCATAATTACTACAGCTGCACTGATCGCGGTTGGTAAATTATATATTTGTTTTATTAATTCATTTTATTTTATTGGTTGTCATTCAATAAATTAATTCTCTTATGTGTTGCAGAATCTTCAACTTCAAAACTATCAATAGAGTGTGACTCTAAAAGAAAAAGGTCACATAGTCCAAGTAAGCATTTTTTACAATACATACATACAATATCGTTAAAGAAAAGGCTAATATATAATCCAAGTACCGACAAAATAGATGGTTATGAAGATTTAGGCGATGAAGGTGGACGAACAGCAAAAATTGCTGATCATGCTTTGGTACTAATGCTTCAAGGAATTCGGAAAAAAATTAAACAGCCGATCGCATATTATTTTGTTAAAGGTACAATTGCCGCAGAGAAATTGACTGTTATTATAAAATCAGTCATTCGAGCAGTAACTAAGGCTGGTTTCACTGTTCTGGGTACAGTCTGTGACCAAGGACCAACAAATGTTGGAGCTTTAAATTTACTAAAGACTTTTAGCGGGCTGCCCGTTGACTCTAATTTTTTTTTACTGGACAGTGAAAAAGTATTTATTTTATTTGATGTTCCCCACCTTTTTAAATCTATTAGAAATAATTTCTATCAAGGTGGTGAAATAGTGATAGATAACAAAAAAGGGAAATGGGAACATTTAGTGAAAGTAGAGGAAAAAAATCAACGTACTCTACATTTTAGCAAAATTACTAAACTACATGTCCAACCAAAGTTCAGATCCAAAATGAAAGTTAAGCTTGCTGCTCAAATCTTGAGTAATACAACAGCCGCAATTTTAAAACTCATGGCAGAAAGTTTAGGAAATAAAGAAGAAGCTAGAGAATATTTGCAAACTGCACACATTGTTGAAGAGCTCGACAAATTGTTTGATTGTACAAACGGACCCGCTTCAAGAAATGACGTAAAGAAAGGTATACGACAAAATGTGAGCAAGAAAAGCTTTCATCATGAACGTTGGCTGGAGTACAAAAGAAAACTAAAAACCCTCACTTTTTTAAAGTCGGATAGTCAGCTTAGGCTCAGAAACGTTAGGTGTGTTAACGGATTTATAATAACGATTACATCTCTGCAAGATATTTGGAAGGTAGTACAGTCAAAAAATATTAAATATTTAAATCTTCGTCAATGTAACCAGGACGCTTTGGAAAACTTGTTTGGTCTTATAAGACAACACTGTCCTACAAATAAAAACCCTACATGCCATCATTTTACGTCTGCATTAAAGTCAGCGGTACTCTCCCGACTTAGTGCACCTATCAGTCGAGGTGCCAATTGCCAACAGGACGAAAATGAAATACTATTTGACTTTCAAGACATTGTATTCCAACAACAGTCAAAAGAAAAAAAACCTAATCTTAAATATTGAAATACCAGTTTTAGATGCCGACAATATTCCTATTTTACAAATTCCTGATGAACAATATACAGGGTGTCCCAAAAACAATGGATAACCCTGTAACCATCGATAGGCCTAACGTGAAACGAGGTGGCTAGCTGTGTTTACGATTTCATCAGGGATCAATCCTCAAAAGGCATACTAAATATCAATTTGTATTCTGACAATTGTGGGGGCCAGAATAGGAATAGAATCGTTTTCATGATGTACTTAGTGGCGGCCAAACAATTCAATGTAAACATAACTCACCGTTTTTTGAGAAAGGCCACACGCAGAATGAGAACGACAGTATTCATGCGTTAATAGAGCGTTGTGCTAAAAACAAGGAAATTTATACGCCTGAGCAATGGTTTGCTTTAGTAAGATGGGCCAAAGAAAATGGAAATCCTTACAAGGTTAAAGAAATAGCATCTGAAGATATTTTGGATTTTAAAAAGTTACTAAAGGGAAAAAACTGGGTAAAAAATCTGAAAAGCCAAAAAATTATGTGGTCCAGAATTAGAGAAATCAATGTAGAATCTACAGAACCAGATACGATTAATTACAAATACCAATTTGATGAACCTTACCAGCATTTAGTTGTGCACAGAGCCCAAAATCTTAGGCGGCAAAATCAGGCAGACGAAGAGTTGACACAGGCTTACACTGGAATATTACCGATTCCCCTTGCCAAAATAGCTGATCTCAAGTACCTTTGCGAGCACAACGTAATTCCTAGACAATATCATGGTTTTTTTAACTCTCTCTCAGCTGGTGATGCTGATGAGCAATCAGAGTCAGATGAAGATTAGGTACTAATTAGTTTAAAGAGTACAAATTCAAAAAGTGAACAATATTGCTATGTATATGTTCAGCTCGCAAAGAGATTAGACATTAATTTCTGATTGCTTTAAGTTTATTTTTAGAGTAGATATTTTTTATGTAAGACTGACACCGACAACTGATTAGGTTACTTAGGCCCAGTTTTTTCATTCGTAGTTAAAATAACAAATTGTTAAATTTTGCTACTAATGGTTAAATATTAACAAAATGTTAACTAATAGTTAAAAAATGTACTAAAAGTCAAGCTAACCATTGTTCGAAAAACATTTTTCTCTGATATTTAACCACTTGTCATTTGACATCTGTCAAATTTGACTATTGGTTATTTTAACTACGAATTAAAAAACTGGGCCTTAGTGATTGTGTTCTTGAGATGTTAATTTGAGTAGGTACTTTTATGATTAAAATTGATCTCAGAATCTTAGTATATTTTTGAGTTGTGTTGTGTTTAAAGTTTTCAGATGTTTTTTTTGTTCCTGATTGTTAAAAGATTAAGACTGTTTTGGAGAAAGTTTTGTATTTCTTTCTCAGAAAAGTTTATAATAATAATATTCCAATAAATATTATAATGATAATATATCTTTAAATCCTTTACTTTTTGTAAAATGTTTTTATTGGTAATACACCATGAATGTTCCTGCATCACTAGATGCCTACTAAATACCAATATTTTATTGATGTTGATTTTATGTTTCAATAATTAAAATAATTAAAAGTTGAAGTACATAATATTTTTGATATATCTTTATTTTTTGTTAGGTGTTTTGTTTTGTTATTGTATTGGTAATGAATATCATAATTAAAAATTAATAGTAGATTTTTGATGTTGATTTTATATTATAATGTCAGTTTAAAAGTTATAATTATGAAAAAGTTCTAGTCACCTAATAAGGTGTGTAATTTTTTTTCCACAGTTTGTTTCTGCAAACAGTTCATTATGATAAAAATAAATAATGTTCAACTTTGTTAAAAGATTAAAACTAAGTTTTTTGGAGAAAGTTTTGTATTTCTTTCTCAGAAAAGTTTATAAATAATGTTCCAATAATTATTATAATGATAAATATTTTTAAATCCTTTACTTTTTGTAATTAATGTTTTTATTGGTAATACACCATGAATGTTCCTGCATCACTAGATGCCTACTAAATACTAATATTTTATTGATGTTGATTTTATGTTTCAATAATTAAAAGTTGAAGTACATAATATTTTTGATATATTTTTATTTTTTGTTAGGTGTTTTGTTTTGTTATTGTATTGGTAATTAATACCATAATTAAAAATTAATAGTAGATTTTTGATGTTGATTTTATAATGTCAGTTTAAAAGTTATAATTATGAATGATTATTATCATCAAAAAGTTCTAGTCACCTAATAAGGTGTGTAATTTTTTTCCACAGTTTGTTTCTGCAAACAGTTCATTGTGTTATATTATGATAAAAATAAATAATTTTCAACTCATATAAAGTGTTTTTTATTATAAATATACCTTTTATCAATTAAAATTGATATTTTCACAAGTCATAACTACACTTATCGAACATTGCTCCCGTGTACAGTTTTATATGTGGCAGTTAATGCTTTGAACAAACATAATACTCCCACGTAAAAGTCAGTAAGTACCACTTGTGTTATTTAGAAATAGAAAGTGTCCGCTGTATATGTGTGTAAGTGACAAATCATACATTAATTGTGATCTTTTTTTGATAAATCTTCCTGTTTTATAAAATATACCTTATATAAAACCAACATACCAAATTTTATCAATGTACGATAAATAGAACGCGAGCTACACATGTTTAAACCTTCAAACCGCTCTCCTGTAAAATTGGCCGTTTGAAATGCTCCAAGCTCACAGACGCGGTTTGACATTAGTTTGAAGTTTTTTTTTGGTGGGGTGACTAACATGGATTGCCGTTCGTCGGCTTTATTATTATGACTTAAAATTAATTTGACTATTTATTTTATTGTATTTACGTCAACTTTTTATTTTTATTAACATTAATAATGAAATAAAAAAATCTTTTAACTGTCATTGGTATATTTCTTTGGCACTAGGTACAATTATTCTTCATACTCCTGGGCAGGTTATAGTATACTTACTTCCCACGGCAACGGAAATTGCGGGAAAATCCTTATGTATGACAAATCTAAACCGCTTAAGTTAGACGCTTGAAATTTGGCATGCAGGTACCTTAGTAAACTTAAATCTTAGTTACAACAGGATATTGCAAAATTCCTACGGGAACTGGAGTTAGCGGGAAAAAACATTTGTATGAAAAAATCTAAACTGCTTAAGTTACGACGCTTGAAATTTGGCATGCAGGTACCTTAGTTAACTTAAATCTTAGTTACAACAGGATATCGCAAAATTCCTACGGGAACGGGAGTTAGCGGGAAAAAACATTTGTATGAAAAAATCTAAACCGCTTAAGTTAGACGCTTGAAATTTGGCATGCAGGTACCTACCTTAGTAAACTTAAATCTTAGTTACAACAGGATATCGCAAAATTCCTACGGGAACGGGAGTTAGCGGGAAAAAACATTTGTATGAAAAAATCTAAACTGCTTATAGTCCAGTCAATAAAGCATTATAGATGGAAATCTGTGGAACACAATTTTTGACTTCGGGACTTTGTTTAGACTAGTTAGGAGGTGAACATAGCAAAAGTCCCCGCCCTTAGCCCTTGAGCCGGCGGGGAGAGGGGGGTTTAAAGGTACTACTTTTCGGTTTTTCGCTTAATCCTCGGAAACTATGCATCCTAGTGACATGACTACTATGAACCAATAAAAGCTTATTCAATTTGCTATAGGTGAGATACTCAAGTTTTTCTATATCTTGTATAGTTTTCGCGGCATCTGCTCTAGAAGGTCTGTAATATTGGAAATTTTATTTTTGTCTTACATGTTTCCATCAGGAGAAAATCCACTAAATCAACATTGAGCAAATATTCTAGACATGCAGGAGCATGTTAAGCCTAGTTCCAGGGAGGGGACTGCACTGTGCATATATTTAAACGAACCACTTGGAGCCACTTTTGACTCCTCATCACTCAAAGAGTACTGTGCATTAACACTTCAAATTTGGCTCATGTGTTGAGACTTGCAAGATAAACATCAGCTTCAAATTTCATACATATACCTCAAACGGCTCTTTAGGTATATTTAGACGAACCACTTGGAGCCACTTTTGACTCCTCATCACTCAAAGAGTACTGTGCATTAACACTTCAAATTTGGCTCATGTGTTGAGACTTGCAAGATAAACATCAGCTTCAAATTTCATACATATACCTCAAACGGCTCTTTAGGTATTGACGTTCAAAAATGCCGCCTGTCTGTGGCGTGGAGCATATGCTTCAATGTCAAAATGGCCCCGTCTGTGGCGTGGAGCATGTGCTCCAATGTCAAAATGGCCCCGTCTGTGGCGTGGAGCATATGCTCCAATGTCAAAATGGCCCCGTCTGTGGCGTGGAGCATATGATCCACAAAATGTAGGTTCACATTTCACGTAGCAGTAATAATTAAAGCGTTTTTCCTTTTATAAAATCATAATAATAATTATCTCTGAATGTCATAAAAATTATTATTTATAGTTTTCTTTTTATTTTAGTTTAAGATGTTGAATAAATAACATTAAAACCTTAGGTAAAAGCTGATAAAAATTTAAAAGAAGAATTTGTTTTATATTTTTTGTCTGTGATGTTACTGTTTCTTTCAATAAATAAAAATCATAATAAATCAATGGATTTTGATTTTATTAACCTACTATTATAACTTGAAAAAAGCCCGGCAAGCGAGAGGTCATGGGTTCGATTCCTGCCTAAGAAAAGAAAGACAACAGCCCGGCAAGCGAGAGGTCATGGGTTCAATTCCCGCCTTAGGCAGTTTTTATTTTAATCTGAAGCTTCTAAGATGTTGCTAAGAAATAATATTTACGAATATGCAAATTTTCATGTCAGTAATAGCATTCAAAACATTTTCCCTCCGCTCCGCTCCTCTCCTCTCTGCTCCGCCTTAATGGTGGAAACCGGCCCTTACTTAAAGTAAGTATTTTTAAATGATCGATTCAGATAATTCTTATGNCTGGGTCCCCAAACTAATTTTTTTAAGCCAATTTTACGAACTTTGTCACATTTAAACGGATTATTTAAACATATCCTCTCCGCAAATGAAACAAAATTGATTTAGATAATTCACACAAACACTTCTTAATGCTACCATATTAAATTATACAAAGAAAACATAGTATTTTAAGAACTGTCGGCGAATTAAGACTGAAATTTAGCAATTTTTGAGTGAAAGCTATAACACGTAAACAAGAGCTGCTACGAAAAAATGGACGGCAGATTCAGAATCAGCGACGTCAAATTAGTAAACATCATGTAATGAAAGTCAATCATCAGCCAAAAGTTGCAATTTTGTTGTGCAGTGTTATTCTTCATACTCCTGGGCAGGTTATAGTATACTTACTTCCCACGGCAACGGGAATTAGCGGGAAAATCCTTATGTATGAAAAATCTAAACCGCTTAAGTTAGACGCTTGAAATTTGACATGCAGGTATCTTAGTAAACTTAAAGCTTAGTTACAACAGGATATTGCAAAATTCCTACGGGAACGGGAGTTAGCGGGAAAAACATTTGTATGAAAAAATCTAAACCGCTTTAGTTAGACGCTTGAAATTTGGCATGCAGGTACCTTAGTAAACTTAAAGCTTAGTTACAACAGGATATCGCAAAATTCCTACGGGAACGGGAGTTAGCGGGAAAAACATTTGTATGAAAAAATCTAATCCGGGTAAAATGGGATCCACGCGTACGAAGTCGCGGGCGGCCGCTAGTTATTGAATAAACAAAAAACCCAACTGCGTAAAAATGAATTGAAAAGATAAAAACAAGATTTGATGCCTCCGACTGCATTTGTGAACACTAAGACTGAGTTGTCTTGTTTTTATCTTTTCAGTTCATTTTTACGCAGTTGGGTTTTTTGTTTATTCAATAATAATTGATTTAAATGGCAATGCCAGATTTTGTATGGAAGGTGGCGTCTTTTTTTTTTCGCGCGGCCATCGACCAAACTTTGTTTTTTGATTACAAAATAGTGTAATAAACCAAACTTACTATCACATGTATACCTCTAAACTCAGTCTGAACTGAGTTACGAGCGTTAGAAGTTTGATAATTTACATACTAGATTTGCTTTTGCGCGCAAGTTTTGTAAGAAATTGCAACAAAATATTGCGCTAATTTTTTATTGAGCTGATTCTGCTCCATACTGATGTCTGGAGCCTTTAATGGATGGTATTGTTTGTTCACACATACAATGTCACTATTTTGTTGCAATGTCTTACAAAACTTGCGCGCAAAAAGCAAATCTAGTATGTAAATCATCAAACTTCTAATGCTCGTAACTCAGTTCAGACTGAGTTTAGAGGTATACATGTCATAGTAAGTTTGGTTTATTACACTATTTTGTATCTAAAAAACATGATTTGGTCGATGGCCGCGCGAAAAAAATAAGACGCCAATTTCCGGCATTGTCTTTTACTAGAACTTTCAAACTGGAAGTCAAACCCTCTTATCTTAATTAGTGCCTAGTGTGCGCCTACGCTTAAAGTGGAAGTTTTTTTCAACATATTTTCTGTTGCTACATATTGTTGTTTTTTTGCAGCAGAGCCATATCTCGTCGAGCCCGTTGAGCCCGTCGAGTTCGACGAGCCCGGCGAGCACGTTCAAATTGTCGAGCCGCCACATCGGATACGCCTGGTCAGCCAGCCGGGCGAGAAGAAGTGGACGCAACATACAATTTATTATTAAAAAGGGTAAGCCTTTGACATTTTAAGACTTTTCAATACATTTTCTATTACTCCTTTTATTTAATTAGTAAATCTCGGGATTTATTTGATTTTTTTTGTGTCGGATAGCCCATTTTATATAGTGGAATGGCTTTACCATCACGCTACGACCAATAGAAGTAGAGCATTAATGAAAATTGTTGCGTAAACGGAAAAAATATTCAAACGATCTTTACGCGTATGAAGTCGTGGGCACGGTTAGTTTTTTTTTATAACGATAAATTGATAATACTTTTAAATAGCTCCATTTACATTTCATTCGAAGGAAGAGGCCTATCTAACAGAAGCATATTGTATTTTTTTTTCCAGACTGAAGTGTAGCGGAATGGTCCCCTTGCAGCAGCTGCAACCGAGTTTTATTTGGCTTTCATGATTATCTTATAGTTAATCATTGTTGTCTTTGTGTTGACGAGTAAATCAAGTTATTGTTAACTCTTCGACCCTGGCATACGTAGTAGTCATGAGTATTGTTCACGTTAGTAAGCCAAAAGCAATAAATGTCAAAGTTTAGTTGCAAATTAAAGCAGTAATAATTAAAGCGTTTTACTTTTTCAGTGGTTCTCTAGATTACTTTAAAAAGACAATGACGGAAATTGGCGTCTTTTTTTTTCGCGCGGCCATCGACCAAACTCAGTCTGAACTGAGTTACGAGCATTAGAAGTTTGATGATTTTCATACTAGATTTGCTTTTTGCGCGCAAAGTTTTGTAAGAAATTGCAACAAAATAGTGAGATTGTATGTGTAAACAAACAATATCATCCATTAAAGGCTCCAGACATCAGTTTGGAGCAGAATCAGCGCAATAAAAAAATAGCGCAATATTTTGTTGCAATTTCTTACAAAACTTGCGCACAAAAAGTAAATCTAGTATGAAAATAATCAAACTTCTAATGCTCGTAACTCAGTTCAGACTGAGTTTAGAGGTATACATGCCATAGTAAGTTTGGTTTATTACACTATTTTGTAATCAAAAAACAAGTTTGGTCGATGGCCGCGCGAAAAAAAAAAGACGCCACTTTCCATACAAAATCTGGCATTGCCATTTGGCAAGAAATATTCGTTCATGTTCTTACATTATGTCCATGTTGCGTATTGATTTTTTTTTTGTTTGTTTATGCATTAATTTTTCGGTACAAACTCTAAGGAGAATATTTGTTTTTGTTCGTATAGTGTTAACTGTAATTGTTATAAAATCATAATAATAATTATCTATGAATGTTATAAAAAATATTATTTATAGTTTTCTTTTTATTTTAGTTTAAGATGTTGAATAAATAACATTAAAACCTTAGGTAAAAGCTGATAAAAATTTAAAAGAAGAATTTGTTTATGTTTGATTTATATTTTTTGTCTGTGATGTTACTATTTCTTTCAATAAATAAAAATCATAATAAATCAATGGATTTTGATTTTATTAACCTACTATATAACTAGCGAGAGGTCTTGGGTTCGATTCCTGCCTAAGAAAAGAAAGACAACAGCCCGGCAAGCGAGAGGTCATGGGTTCAATTCCCGCCTTAGGCAGTTTTTATTTTAATCTGAAGTTTCTAAGATGTTGCTAAGAAATAATATTTACGAATATGCAAATTTTCATGTCAGTAATAGCATTCAAAACATTTTCCCTCCGCTCCGCTCCTCTCCGCTCCGCTCCTCTCCTCTCTGCTCCGCCTTAATGGTGGAAACCGGCCCTTACTTAAAGTAAGTATTTTTAAATGATCGATTCAGATAATTGTAATGAAAAAAAAAATCTAATAATAATAATTTATCTTTCAAAATGTTCCAACAATATACTTCTAACATCCCTTTTTAATAAAATAAAATGTCCAGAGACATTAATAATGTGTGTGTGAATAATCATCGGAAGCCGTCGGAAGGCGTTATCCATACTACCTTGACCCATTTTGGCCATTTTTGTCTGATTTTGTTAGCATTTATCTCATAAATTTTCTTAGAAATCCATTGAAACCTTGCAAGATGTTATGTTCAGATTAAACCTAGGTAAATCTTGTTTCTGGAAAATGTAACTTTTACTTACGTTATCAGTTCTAAACATACAGAAATCCATGTCTTGTAACTACCGATTTGTAAGCAAAAAAACAGACCCATTTTTGTTTATCTCTCATTTAAATTCCATTGTAATTACAAATGAACCACTTATATCCTCGTCTAGCTGATATACTCAAGTTACTGTAAACATCTGTTTCAACACTCTAAAGCCTTGGTTCTATCGAATAAATATTTTTATGTCGACCTCAGTTTTGATGGTACTCTGAGTACCTACTTAGTTTTTCTATGAAAGTTTCAAACATGTTTTGTTGAAGATATTTGTATGAAGAGGGTTGGTTTTTTGTATCAAATCTGTTAAAATGTGTGTTGGGGATTAAATGAAATACATATTACAGTCAAATATTAGTTTTTATTACAAAAATCCTTAAAACTAAGTTTAAATTTTCGTCACAATTATTTGGTGTAGTATACAAGCTTTATTATAACATTTCTGTTGGAAAAACTTATTAAAATAGTACCATAAAGTAATATTTAGTATTCAGTAAAAATTTGATTGTTATAGATTTCTACTTTTGTTATTAGGTTCTCAAAATTAAAGTTTCGTATCTCCGTCTCGGATTTGATAGTAACATGATTAACTTTGTTAAATTTAAAGTGTTCGAATTTAACCTTTCTCTAACCTTGATTTTGTTGGATGTATAATTCATATTTTCTTTTAAAACAGGGGTTCTTGGCGACCCATCTGAACTTCTCTTCAAACTTCCATCTTGCTTGGAAATTACTGGTTTTATAAGGCTTGGCGAAAATGTTTTACACAGTGCTTCAGGTTCATCGACATTTTTTACTTTTATTATCGGAACTGCAGAAATATATTGTGGCATTTCTCCAGAATACTTGTCTTGTTTTTGCTGTTTGTCACATCCATATTAACTGTTCTTAAATTTGGACTCCTTGACTTCAAAAGTGGCTCATAATTAGAACCTGCCATTGCTTTTGGTGACTGCACCTCAATCGTAGTTGTCATATTATGTCCATCATCACGAGATAACATTGGATTACCCTTAGCAGTTTCTTTACTCACTATAAAGTTTTTGTGTTTAGCATACAAATTGCCCACAAACAAACCAGGAGTTGGTGACTGTACCTCAATCGTAGTTGTCATATTATTTCCATCATCACGAGATAACATTGTATTGGCCTTAATAGTTTCTTTACTCACTATAAAGTTTTTGTGTTTTGCAGATAAATTGCCAACATACACACCAGGAGTATTTGGTCCAGGCATCCCAGGAACATGAGGAATTAACTTTCCGCCGTGCAGAATGGTTGTGGGAGTGGCACCGTTTGGTGAGGCCGATGGGCTCAATGGAGGTAAAGTCAATGGATTAAATGCCGTAATAGCACTCAATGGAGGAAATTGAAAATGCGTTATATCATGTAAATTAGGCAGATTGGAACTGGAAATTTCAGGCGTGTTGGATATTGAAATTCTAGGTGTTTGTGGCTGCGGCGTCCCAAGAATTTCTTTGGGCGTCGGAGGATTATGTACCATTGTGCCACCGGAGTGCAAGCCAGACCGAACAACAATACTACTGGCTTCTAAATCATTAGCTAATTTAGACGGTGACAAGTTTTGCTGAATCAATATCGGAGATAGTTGATTTTACTAGGTTCTATACGTAGTGTAGTAGTGCCTCCACAGTGAGTGGTCTACTATTTTCACTTCACCCCCGAACATCTGTAAGGACGTTGAGTTGTGTCTCATGTGTGTGGACATTTCTTCTAGTGTTCGAAGTCCCGTTGCACTTGAATCGATGCATCGTACTTTAGGTTGAGAATATAACTCTCCAATACGGGGAGACACATTTTCTATTTGTCTTGGACTATAGTTATTATCTGATCTGCTCTCAATTTTTCTTTTTGGGCTAGCTATTGGCTTAAAGAAGAACGGTCATCTGTGACCCAGGACCGACAGAAACGAGACATACCTCAGTTTTTTTGTCATGTCTTAATTAGTTAAATTATATATTTTTTATATTCGAAATCTATGTATAACACCAAAATATTACCCTTTGTTTTTGTTCAGGCGTTATACACTCGGCATCAAATAAATCGCACCTCCCGCGACAAGCACTTATCAAACGTATGCATTCCCACTTCCCACCAACATTGGTACGATTTAAAAGCCTAGTTTTAAACTTTATTTCATTAAAGGAAAGGTTTTTACCCCAAAAATGAGTCTTTACAAGGATCCAGAGTCACTTCTTCAAAAAATAGGTAGTTACGCTATAGCCATTTTTTATGACTATAAAACTATTAAGTTGGGATTAATCGCTATCCATCTGTTAAAGAGGACACGTGAGATCTTTATTTGGTTTTATAACCATAAAAAATGGTCTAATTGATCCCAGAGGTGAGCCCAAAGTGAGGTCTATTTTCAAGTCACATTTATGGTATATGTTATTCATTTATTTAGAAATGAAATGAATTTTTCTTCAAGGATATTTATTGGGCTTTCAAATAACACCAATATTGTTGGGGTACCATGATTGTATCAGAAGAAAATCTTTAAAGTTCGCGTCGCGGAAGGTGCGGTTTATTTGATGTTGAGTGTATAAAAACAAATACAAAATTCCTATTTATCACCAAAATTGGCAAATGTATGTACCTATTGTATTGGCTAATGTCTATTACAGCTGCTATGGAATGTATCTAGGTGGAGATACAGCCGGATTTACATACATTTACCAATTTTGGTGATAAATAGGCATTTTGTATTAGTTTTTGTATAATGCCTGAACAAAAACAAAGGGTAATATTTTGGTGTTATACATAGATTTCGAATATAAAAAATACATAATTTAACTAATTAAGACATGACAAAAAAACTGAGGTATGTCTCGTTTCTGTCGGGTCTGGGTTTTTTTTGTATGGGGCGTGACCGTTCTTCTTTTAAGTTCTCATTTTTTCTTGATATTTCATTTGAACTTTTTGAATCAACGAGTCTGGTGTTCCCTAACAATGGTCCAGGTGAGGGTAGAAGAGCAACTATATCATTAGATTCTGACTTCATTATTACCAAATTATCAGGCTTGCATCTTAGAGGCGATGATAGCTTATTGGACGAGCTTGTCTTTGTATAGGAGCTTTGTGGTGTTTCAGGCAAACGTACGTTTACAGAATTACTCCGCATAAATATATTTTCCGGCCTGGCTATTTTAATATATTTTTGAACAGTATTGATTGCTGTAGTATTGATAAAACTACCTTTGCAATAATAATTTCTGTGAATCTCCAGATTATCTGCGCTGCGATACATTATTTGGCACAATGGGCACACAAACAGTGGTCCCTGTCCATCAACTAATTCACTCGGTACTGGTGTAAGGCCATTTGTCTTGGTTTTTAAAAGAAGGTCTTTAATTATAGATCCTTCAGGGTTAACTTCAGCTAAATTCATTGCCTTCATATAAGCTCTCACATACTTCCAGCAATCTTAGGACTGGCCCAATATTGTATGGGAAAAGCGATTTAGATACCAGTCTGCTGATTTGTAATCGTAGTCGAATCAACACCCTCATTGTGTCATCAAGACCTCTTGAGCCACCTAGATCGGTTTGCTGGCACGTCTCAAGGAATTTGGGCCAGTTCCTCCTCACATACTTTAACACTTTTAGCGCCTCAAAGTAATCATCGGCGTGTTTTTATTGCCAAAATCCCGATATCGGGTTCTCTTNGTTAAAGTAAGATGGTGCAACTCAGCCCAATTATTTTGTAGAGATTCTTTGTTGGGTTTGAAATTGACTAAAATGCGACGTTGCCAAAACGCTACGGATGCGGGTAATAAGCAATACTCAATCCTAAACGCTTTACATAGAGCTTGGTTTGCTAGGGCAAACATGTACAGTGGTGATTGTCGAGCGGCGCGCGCGCGGAATGCGAGGGGAGGTGTCGACTGGNCCATCTGGAATTTTCATAAAAATTGTCTCTTCAAGAGAACCATTCAGGAAAGCAGCTGTTACGTCTAGGTGCTGTATACCCATTTGAACAGAGAGAGCGAACAATAGCCTTAAGGTAGTATGCCTCACTACGGGGGAAAAAGTGTCAGTATAGTCCATACCTTCAACTTGTGAAAATCCCTTTGCCACTAAACGCGCACGAAAACGGACATTATTTTCACTGTCATATTTCTTTCGTAGCACCCACTTACACTGCACAACTCGACTACCTTCTGGAGCAACACACAACTCCCACGCATCGTTGTCCCTGAAGCTCTGCAATTCCTCCTGCACAGCCATCTTCCACTATTCCGCCTCGGGGCCTCTCAATGCTTCACTCAGGGAAGAGGTGTCCTCATTCGTACAGAAGTTGGAGTAGTCATAGCGTTCTGGGGAAAAGCCGTACTGTTCTGGCCTCTTTCTCTCTCGCACAGGACTGGATGGTCTGGAATGGGTGACCTCTTCATCCAGTTTACTGTCTGCGTCTTCGTCACTGGGAACATATGTTTCCTCATTTCCTTCTGGTGTAGCATCGAGGAATTTTGTGTCATCTTGACCTGACGTCTCTACACTGGTCTCCTGGTTAGATTTTTCTATCTTGGCAGTATCTAAAACCTGTGAGCCATCCGCCACTGAATCAAAACTCTGATCTTGAACTTCAATTTCACATTCAGATTTTGATTCCGGCTCAGTTATTATAACGTCTCGGCTGGTCAACACTTTTCTTGTATCGGGGTTGAAAAGTCTATATCCTTTTATATTTTCTGGATATCCAATGAGTATGCACTTTTCTGACTTTTTGTCCCACTTCTGTTGTTGATGTTTTCTGCACACTTTGCATCATACAAAAATGCCAACTTACTTATGGAGTAAACTGTTTCCTAAACACGTAAATAGATTGCTTAGAGACAGGGGGCATCAGCTACTTATTCCAAAAATAAAATTGGCTAGTGCTAGGGGCTGCTTAAGATTTGCCACTGCAAAAATCTGGAATGACCTGCCACCACCGGTTCGCGCCGCATTGGATCTTACGCTACCGACCTTCCGCAAAAGATGTCGCAACTGGCTGCTTCAAGAGCAATCTCTGGCACTGGCTAATTTATAAGTTCACATAGCAATTTGAGGGCTATAGATTCAAAAGCGCCTCTGTCCAGTTTTTTATCCAACACATTTTTAGATTATTGGCAACACATTGCATGTTAGTCTATGACCTCACATAGTGACATATGTGCAAAACCGTCTATATTCCATACTAAATTCAATTTGAAATTCGCGGTGAGGTGCAAAAACGTCTCTATTATTTAATCTAGTAACAAAAGCGCTTGTATCCCGCCTCGACCAATCACAGAGCCGGGCTGTGTTAGTAACTGTAATGGCGTCCGCGTGTTGTTTGTTGAACATTTCGTCCCGTTATTTTGTTGATTTTTAATAGTAAAAGAACGCAAAATGGAAATTAATATTGCTTCAGTGCAGGATAATAAAGGAAGAAAACGGATCCGCAATGAAAAACAATGGAAACGTAACGTGCAAAAGCGTGCAAGGTAAGTTTCCCTGACCATGTTTTGTATGAGAAGATGCAATGGACGGGTCAATACCGTAATGACCAAGCAACAATATCGCGCCGAACGTCACTCTTGCTTTAAGATTTATTATGATGATTGTTTAACTTAACAGAAAATTTTACTCTTTTAACACTATCACATTTTTCCTATACTTACAAAAATTGCACTGTGAATGCATAAAAATAATATAAACTCTTTTAAATTTATTTTATTATTTATATACATTTAAAAAAATGTCACTGCCAAAAGAATTAAAAAATATTTTATTGTATATCTTTATGTTATTTTAACTGTGCTGACATGTAATTGTGAATAATAAATTTTACTTTTATTTCAAATAATACATTAAATTAGCCGTTTTTTTTTATATTACAGGTATTCTGCTAAAAGACCACCGAATATAAATGATATAAAAAATTGTGTACATAAAAAATTGGGTAAACTAAAATGCATCGATTTAAATCCTCAAGACATAAGAAAATTTCACCAAGCATTTTTTTCCAAGGCGGATAAAGTGTATCAAGACAATTTATATTAAAATTCATAAAAGTCAGTACACCACAGAGACGAAGACGTAAAGTAAAAAACCGTGCTGAAGCTGAATTTTTTACGAAATATTATATTCGTACATATAGAAAACCGTACAAAGGATGATGGGCACAAATGTATGGAAAGTGGTACCCGCTCCAATAGCCATAACCAATATATATTTTAAAAGTCCTATAGATGTAGGAAAATGTCTGCTATGGGGCCCTGCGTGCAGACGCTGCATAGATCGCCGCGACCAATGACAGGACGCGTTGATGTGAACACATCCCTACAAATTCATACACGCTGTCTGGTCGCCATCGCCATCGTCATCGTGCACGCCGGCTGCACGCGTTGGTCTGGTCTTACCTTTAAGAATTTCCCGAAGATTTATAAAATGCCTGCAACTTTGATAGATCAAGAAGAGAGTATGTTTAATTTTATTCTGATTTATTGTTTCTTTTTTTATGTGCCAAATAAATTATTATTTCTTTCTCTTTCTTTCTTTCTATGAGGAAATTCCGAAGCATAGCTGGCTTTCCTATGGTAATAGGTGCAATAGATTTCACTCATATAAGAATAAAAAAAGTGAGAGCAGATGGGGGTCAATTGTACATCAATAGGAATTGTACAGGAATAGCAATTTATTGTATTACCTATAATAACTGAGACAATGAATGCTAAAGGCCAAAGGCTGCGCATTTTGGCATATAATCTTTTGAGCTTTGCGAGTCTAAAACTGACTATCTTTATAAATTCGATATTTACACTAGGAAGAATTCTAAACGTGGTGATTTCGCTGCTCCTAGTGCTGACTTAGCTGGCAAGAGTACCCAAGTAGTACTCGATCTATTGAAGGGCCTCAAACGTCGGGGGCACTGTGTCACGATGGATAATTATTATAATTGTCCCTCGTTTTTTTTTTTTTTTAGTTTTAAGCTGGTACCTCTGACGTGGTAATCAGAGCCTTTGCTATCACGGATTTTCAATTTTTACACATTGTTTTTAAGGTTTGAGGAGATAGTTTTATAATTTTTATCATTGTAAATGTACTGTTTTGTTTTATTTCTTTTATTTTGAAAATTGCTACATGTCTTCTTATTGTTTATATTTACTAGTTTTAACTTAATAATAATTGTCCCTCGTTGGCACGCCCCAACTCAAATGTAATTTTCCCTTTCCAAAATTTTTCATCCTAGACGATCGGGGTCCGATTCCCTTAGGTTGGATAGCATTAATAGGCTAGATGCATATAGGAATATAGAGGAAGAAGTCGTAATAACGTCTGAACCCGTAGATAACATTTTTAAATCCCTCAGATTACTCCCGGAATTTACACGAAACCCCAACGTGTTAACTCGTTTTATTCATTTGTGTGATCAGCTAGTTCTCAGACACGTTAACACAGGGCCGCGAAACCGTTTTTTTTTTAACTTCATCCCAGTTTCCTTTTGTGCGATTTATTTCAGTCCTTCAACTTCAATGTTACGGTTTCGGGTAAATTCTTTGTTAATTATCATCTAATAAATTCAGGGTCGCAACGTGTTAACACTAACGCCATCCAGCGGCAACTGCAGGAGAAACGACACGTCACAGATTAGCAAAACATACATCGACCGGTGCCGCACAGTTCTTCGGTACTCCGATAGATGGCGCTGTCCTCTATGTATAAAACGCGATAACAAAAATTCCGCCTACTTCACTTCACTTCATTACTTTACTTATTAACTTTCATTCGATTACCATTGTAAACGTCAAATAAACGTTATAGTCTAAATTCAAATCAAAATTATTCATTTGAGTACGAGTACTACCTATCCCAGCTGAACCTGATCTGCTAGTCTTAGGTAGGCGCAAACACAACGTATTCATTGGTTTGTAACAGAAAATTCAAGATGCCTCAATACGATTTTTAAATGATATCTGAGTATCGAAAAGTTGTCTGATAGAGAAGGTGCTACACTTAATTTGTCTGATATAAATTTTTTGCACATGTGGACAACTTATTTTATCATGTCCAACAATTTTCAGACATATTGCTATGATACCGATCGGTAAAATTTGTTAACATTTTCAAAACGGTCTCAAAATTTAATGCGTTCATATTTCCGTCTGAAAATCAAATAACCAAAATTTACTAATAAAAAAGATTTTCAGACGTATTGCTATGAGACATTTTTTTGTCTTATTTCTAATTTTTTTAAGTGTTTTTTTTACGGGTTTGCGCTACACCACTAACGTCTGAAAAATATGTCTGCGGTATCTCAGAACTATCATTCAACTACAGTCTGCAAATCAGACATATTGCTATGATGCAGTTCGGTAAAATTCTTTGACAATTTTGAAAATTCGGTCAGATCAAACGCTACGCGGAAAATGTCTGATATTGTTATTTTCGAGTTCAGGATAATAGTATCTATCGATTTGATGCGGTTTTGGCCGTATTGCTATGAGACAATATTTTTTGTCGTGGGCTCTCGTACTATGAATAAACTATTTCTAATATTCTTCTTTTTGTTGTAACTTTATTAATTAAAAAATCTGCTTTAATACATTTATATTTCCTAATTTACAAATGACTAATGCCTGACCGCTACTTGTGAATATTATAGTTATAGAAGGTAGTTTTACTTTAATATTATCGTGTTATGTAGCAGGTAGTTTTCTATATGAAAATAAATCAGTTTGCACTCAGCTGGTCGTATGATTTGACATGGCGCAGCCGGCAGGATTAAAATAAAGTTAAATATGGAATCAGTGCTACAGCCACCGTCGCCGTTTCGGTTTGAAAATAATTTACTCAACGTTACATCGGGAAATTTAAGTCAAGAATGGGAGAAATGGAAGAAATCGTTCCGGATATATTACGACGCATGTGAATTGGATAAAAAACCAACGAAGGTACAAATAAACATATTACTACACATCATAGGAGAAAAATGCAGAGAAGTTTATGATCAATTTACCGAAAAATTCACGTCAATTGAAGATTTAATAAAAGAATTCGATAAATTTTTCCTACCGAAAAGGAATAACGACAGTCCTTTAGTAAATGACCTAACTTTTGGCATTTGTGGCAACGCTTTAGTTTGTTATCAAAGTTGCTGGTCTTAGTTCTCTTGGGTGGAATACTTTGGTCAGTGTCTTTACTAGATCGTTTGCGTTTATATGAATTTAGGCTTTGAATCAATTGCGGCAAATTTTTGGGCGTCAAACGTAACAAATCAGAACGTATACGAAAATCTGACATACCAGATATCACGGCCTCGACTAGTCGCTGCTCAGTCATCTCCACGCCAATCGCCTTCCTGGCAAGCTCCCATTTCCGCGTAGCATACTCGGCGAGACTGCTTGCCTGCTCACTGGTGTACTCCATGAAGAGAGTGAGGTCATCGTAGTAGCGCGCTTCATCTGCAAATGTTTCCACAAGCCTTGTTTTGAGTTCCGACCAGGTAGTCAAAGTTGTGTAGTTACGCCGAGACCATTCGGCCGCACGTCCTCGTAAATTTTTACGGGACAAATTAAGAATTTCCCTATCAGTCAACTCGTATTCTCTTTTTAAGTCGTTTAGACTGTCACACCAAACTTTTATAGTGTCGGCGCGATCATCAGGATCGAAAGGTGGGACATAAATATTGTCTAAATTACGGACACGAGGGCCAGGCTTTGAGTGATAAGTATTAAAAGCACTAGCAGTAGTCTCTATAAGTTTGGACATCATCTCTTGCATCATAGTCTGCATAAAAGTAACGGGAACGAAACCTGTCCTTGTATGTTGTCCGGCAGTAGGGCCGCCCGGAGTCTCACTCCCATGAGTGGCTGAAGGCGATGCTGCTCGTGGTGCCAAGATGGGTGACTGCCTGCCGTTACTCGACCCTGCAGACGGCTCATCTTGCACCGACCTGGTTTCGTCCGGAGGCTGCATGTCCAATCTCGTAACCTGAAATGCAAATTGTTCGTAGGCGTAGTATGGGTTTAAAAAAAATCCCTCGATCCCACTTCTGATGTGGGAGTAAATGAAAGCAAAAACAGTAAAATTAGAATATCTTTTTATCATAATATACAAATACTTTATATATGGCACTATTAAGCTTACATATAAGCAACTATATAGAGCAATAATGATTAAATAAGCTTTCTAAACACAATAATGATATTACATATTTATTTATTACGTTATATACTATGTATTATATAAATAATATATAGGTAAGCAATCCGGCATAATAACAGTATGTAATTAACAAAATAATAAATAATAAAACAATGGTACCTGATAATGGAGACAGTTCAGAGCACCGATGTGCCGTGTCCGACGATTGAACAACGTCTGAGCTGTCGACACGCCGTAGCCGCCTTTTATAGCAACGAGTAAACAAGCTCGGTGGCAAGGTGGGAGAACCGGTAGCTAGAACTTGCTTGCGTATTTTGTACGCCGAGTCGTTTAGTGACTTATTTGTAAAAATCAATATTTGTACCAAAAATAAAATAAAATGCGTAAATAAATAACAAAAATTACACATATTCTCCCACAGGTACACTACTTGACTATCCAGAAGAGGAATTGTCTTTTGCTTTTGTCACAAAATTAAAATCTAACGGGAATGTAGTTCTTGCTCGCATCATCGATCATATTCTCATGAAGAATTCTGATTTTTATTCAAGAAAGAAAAGAGGGAGACAATGCAGGAAGATCAAGCTTTGGCTCTTTCTACTTCATTGGATCTATCAAAGTGGAAATACCTTACTTTAAGGTCTGCATTGTCACATTGCGGGACTTTTGTGCAACTTCCATCGTACCACAAATTATTAGAAGCTAAGAAGAGGTGTTATCCGGATGCCAGAGATATTGAAATATCAGAAGACGGAGTAAAGGTGAACCTACAAGCACTTCTAGATGTGACAACTCAAAGGATCCTGCAAGTCGTTGGTGACGAAATAAATATTTCTAGTGGAAGTTTAAACTAACTAGCAAATGAGGGCTATAGATTCAAAAGCGTCTCTGTCCAGTTTTTTATCCAACACATTTTTAGATTATTGGCAACACATTGCATGTTAGTCTATGACCTCACATAGTTACATATGTGCAAAACCGTCTATATTCCATACTAAATTCAATTTGATATTCGCGGTGAGGTGCAAAAAGTCTCTATTATTTAATCTAGTAACAAAAGCGCTTGTATCCCGCCTCGACCAATCACGGAGCCGGACTGTGTTAGTAACTGTAATGGCGTCCGCGTGTTGTTTGTTGAACATTTCGTCCCGTTATTTTGTTGATTTTTAATAGTAAAAGAACGCAAAATGGAAATTAATATTGCTTCAGTGCAGGATAATAAAGGAAGAAAACGGATCCGCAATGAAAAACAATGGAAACGTAACGTGCAAAAGCGTGCAAGGTAAGTTTCCCTGACCATGTTTTGTATGAGAAGATGTAATGGACGGGTCAATACCGTAATGACCAAGCAACATTATTGCGCCGAACGTCACTCCTGCGCTAGATGGTACAGGTCATCACATTATTATACAAACCAAATCAACCCGATGTGGATTATGCCACAAAAATACATTCATGAAATGTTCTAAGTGCAACGTGGCCTTGCACCAGAAATGTACTGTTGTATTCCACACAAAATAATATTTTTTTGTAAAAGTACTAAATATTTTCTTGTTACTAATAATTCTAAATGTTTAAAAGTATATATTTTGTTTTAAAATTAATAAAAATATAAATAAAAACCGCTTCTAATTTCTCAATCACCCAACCTACACAATAGAACATTACATGCATATATATTCCTACTGATCGATTAGTCGATCGGTTTCAAAACTTCAAAAGTAATTAAAAAAAAAATTTTTTTAGTATTGATTTATGTTCACATACATAATAAGGTGCTATGATAAAATTTTCGTTAAAATCGATAAAGTCTATGTATGCTTGGGATGATATGGGTTAAGATTTATTATAATGATTGTTTAACTTAACAGAAAATTTTACTCTTTTAACACTATCACATTTTTCCTATACTTACAAAAATTGCACTGTGAATGCATAAACATAGTATAAACTCTTTTAAATTTATTTAATTATTTATATTGATTCAAAAAAATGTCACTGCCAAAAGAATTAAAAAATATTTTATTGTGTATCTTTATGTTATTTTAATTGTGCTGACATGTAATTTTGTGAATAATAAATTTTACTTTTATTTCAAATACATTAAATTAACCGTTTTTTTATATTACAGGTATTCTGCTAAAAGACCACCGAATATAAATGATATAAAAAATTGTGTACATAAAAAATTGGGTAAACTAAAATGCAACGATTTAAATCCTCAAGACATAAGAAAATTTCACCAAGCATTTTTTTCCAAGGCGGATAAAGTGTATCAAGACAATTTTATATTAAAATTCATAAAAGTCAGTACACCACAGAGACGAAGACGTAAAGTAAAAAACCGTGCTGAAGCTGAATTTTTTACGAAATAATATATTCGTACATATAGAAAACCGTACAAATTAGTGAGAATTTGTCAAAACGCTTTAAAAAAAATATTAGGCGTCGGTACCCATAAACTCCGAAACATAGCTAAGAAATTTTTAGTATCTGGCCAAATGCCCCAAGAGCGTCGAGGTGGAGATAGAGTATCTAGGAAAACTTTAGCTAAAAAAGAAAATGTGATGAGATTCATCGAGACATTTCAATGTATTGAATCTCATTATTGCAGATCAGCCACGTCAACAAGAAAATATGTATCTTCAGACCTCAACATAAAAAAAATGTGGAGACTTTATCAAGAAAATCAGACCGATGAAAATCTTAAGGTGCGACATTGCTTTTTTAGAAGGATTTTTGTAGTACATTATAATATTGGGTTTAAAACACCCAGAGTTGACATTTGTTCAAAATGTAGTGAGTTATCGGAGAAAATTAAAAATGAGAAGGTGGAAACTGAAAAAGTGGCTCTCATGACGGCATTACGAATTCATAAATTGAAACCCAAATCCTTTTATATGTTTTTGCGGGAGCTTGATGACGAAACGTTTACAATTTCCTTTGACTGCCAAAAAAATCAGGTCTTGCCCAAAGTTGCAGACCAGATTGCTTACTATTCTCGGCAATTGTACATTTACAACTTCACTATCGTGATAGGTACAAGTACAAATAAATTTCAAAAAGAAAACGTCCGCATATGTACGTGGACAGAAAATGTCCACGCTAAATCTTCAAATGAAATTGCATCGGCAGTTTTCGATCTACTTTCAAAGGCAGATTCGACAGGGAAAAAAAAGATCCGAATGATGGCTGACGGGTGTGGTTCACAAAATAAAAATTCCACAATGATAGCGATGGTTGCTCATTGGTTAATAATGTATGCTCCAAGACATATTAAAACTATTGAACTCATTTTTCCTGTTCCCGGGCATTCGTTCATGCCAGGGTCAAAGTCACCTTGGACTAGGGAGATGGTGGAGAACGATATCTTGAAGTGGACGTCCGGTGACTCCCCCGGCAACCTAGACCTGTTGGCTCCCTACCTGGATTCGATATTTCAGCAGTGGGGTTACGACTCCAACGCTGCCAACTTCCTTAAATTCAAAGAGTTTTGCAACGACCCTATGAGATGGGGAACGAGTGGAGGTGCAAAGATGGCAACGATAGAAGGTGAGAGTTATCGTTCGAAGTGGGCATGGGCTTTTTCTCGAATGATGAACGCTGACAGCTCTTTCAAAAAGCAGAGAGGACCAGTGAAGGCAACCACTGCATGTGCGAACAGATCGACAACCGATCGCGGGACGAAAACTATTTATAATTTCTAGACGAAGGTGAAGAGAGCGAATCAACTCTTCTCAAAAAAGTTGTTTATTTTAGTACAATGGACTCTCCCTCGGGATCGAGCACCCAACTCAACCAAACTGACAGTAGGCGCAGGACTGAGTTGATCATAACTGTAGTTTTCATAGTGCTGGCAATCATCCTCATATTAGTTTCAATAGTCAGGAATGAACTGAAAGTTGTGGCCCTTGATGCCCAACAATCTCTAATGCTTAGGAAAATTTGCGAGGCAACTGTAACTGGCTGTTAAAATGGCTTACACGTACGGTATTTCACCGGACGCTCAAGCGTCCGAGCTTTTTAATTCAAATTCCAGGCCCCCCTTCCCTTGTCGGGGTCCGCAATCTCAAAGTTGAGAGACGTTCCTACTTGCTCTGACCTAACCATTGTCCGCGGTAGTAATCGGGAGGTCGCCATAACCACTTGGAATACACAATGCCGCCATTACATTTTTATTCGATGTTGCCAACAACACCCATTTGATTACTTTAGCCATACTAGTACTTCTTGACAGTAACGCATAATACCATCCACAAGGCCAGGTTATGTGAAACCAAAACCGCCTCTATCCATATTAATACAATGCAAAACCGCCTCTATCCAACGTTTAGAAGCAAAACCTACTTGTAGCGTTGCAGTTTTGCTGTTTTTTCACAAATTTAGTTTCTTACTCGATATTCAGATTTTGGATACCACTAGCGACATCTGTTGGCGTGATTTGGAATTAATTTGCAATAGATGGCGCTTTTTGCTCAGTGGATTCGGATATGTTTTATTGAAGCATTTCCTAATGTTTTATTTTGATTATTCCATTTTTTAATGGAGTATTTTCGGTGTTCTGGAGATTGTTTTCATCATGGTTTTTGTTAGTGTTTGCTTTTTATCTAAGCGGCGAAACGAAACGTCTCGCGATTGACATCGCGGCTGTCAGTTGAGCTGTCAAATCACTTTGGAATTTTGGTCGATCTTGCGCAGCCGCAATTTTATTATTTTCGGGGATGTAATCCCCCGTGTTTCAAATCGTGTGATGCGGAATGCATCCACGATAATTTCTTAATATAATTTAAAATGAACACACATGAGGTAAGTTCCCGTCGGAGAATTTATTTATTTTTCGTGATTGATATTTTTCGTATTCCAGTACGTGGTATTTCATGTGATCGTTTCTTTCAGAAATTCCCTAAATCCTATTCGGATGAGGGTATTGGGTTGCTGAAGACTGCGAGTGAAGCTTAAATTAGCGAACAGTCTTTATGCGGGATTTTCATTTTTATTTCATATTTTATGATTTTATAATTTAAACATAATATTTTGATGATATTTCATATATTTTAATTTCTCTTCATTTCGTATGAAATATTTGTCCTTTCTAAACTGCTGATCTCTTCGCATTTCCTCCTTGTCATCAAACCTCTGTCTCTGCAAGAGTTTGAACGCTTACCTGTCGAAGAGATGCAAGAGCTTCATCTGGCACTGCGCGCTTGAGGCTGTGGAGGACGCTGCTTGGAGCCTAAAAGTGTGCGAGACCCGTTGGACCCCGGAAGAAGAGAGGAACGTTCAGGGTAACGGCTTATAACCGCATGGCTTCCAAGGTACCCACTTTTCCATCCTTCAAGTAGGAGTCTTTCCGACCTGACATCGTGCAGTTATCTTAACTATTAGAGTCTTTTAATATTTAGGCTGAGTTTTAAGAAATTTGTAGTGGCAATAATATTCACCAAACCGAACCTAATTAACGACCCTNATTTCATATTTTACATTTTGATATTTCATATATTTTAATTTCTCTTCATTTCGTATCAAATATTTGTCCTTTCTAAACTGCTGATCTCTTCGCATTTCCTCCTTGTCATCAAACCTCTGTCTCTGCAAGAGTTTGAACGCTTACCTGTCAAAGAGATGCAAGAGCTTCATCTGGCACTGCGCGCTTGAGGCCGTGGAGGACGCTGCTTGTAACCTAAAAGTGTGCGAGACCCGTTGGACCCCGGAAGAAGAGAGGAACGTTCAGGGTAACGGCTTATAACCGCATGGCTTCCAAGGTACCCACTTTTCCATCCTTCAAGTAGGAGTCTTTCCGACCTGACATCGCGCAGTTATCTTAACTAGTAGAGTCTTTTAATATTTAGGCTGAGTTTTAAGAAATTTGTAGTGGCAATAATATTCACCAAACCGAACCTAATTAACGACCCTGAATCCCTTGAGATTGGCACTATTGCAGTAGTTATTATAATATCGTAATTGTAACTATATAGGAGCATACGAGATAAAAATAAATTGTGTCAATTGAGAGGGAGCTGTTTTATTTACATTTTCTAATTTCACACAAGGAACGGTAACTTATATAAATTTCTGCAAGCCGGACAACCTCTTTTTCACGTACAGACAACTCACCATCTTCTCAGTCTGCACCGGTGGCGGTTCAATTCCAGTCACCAAGCCGCCAGGAAAAAATCCTTTCTTGCAATACAAGGAACGGTAACCTAATAAATTTCTGCAAGCCGGACAACCTCTTTTTCACGTGCAGACAATTCACTCTATCCAAATTAAAAATAATAAAAAATAACGTTAACTATGCTTTCAGATAATGGAATTTTATTAAAGTTTAGATGATTTAACATCAAATGAAATCTAATTATTAAATAAAGTCTTGCTGTAGTAGCCGCAACAGGTTTTAGTTATATTGTGTAAAAAACAAAAAACTGGACAGAGGCGCTTTTGAATCTATAGCCCTCAAATGGGGATTCGATGGATCTTCAGCACATAGCAATTATAAGCAAAGAAGTGAACTGGCAGAATTTGACGACTCGTCCGTGTTCATGACGAGCCTTGTTCCTCTAAAACTAGTCAGGGGATGTTGTTATAATATGGGAGAATCCAAAGTCATCTTCAACGTTTTACTGTAGTCGTAGACCTATTAAGTTCACATTTGCGAAGGAAACGACTGCGATGCGATACGAATCCAAGTCGGGGTATTTGTGGAGGATGAAGTTTTATGCCGGCAAAGGGCAAGATATGCAATTTGATCCAGAGCCAGAGGGTGCCACCAGCAAAATCGTATTCGATTTAGTCCGACCTTTTCTGAATCGGGGGCACACTCTGGTTATGGACAATTTCTACAACAGCACTTTGCTCTCCAGAGCATTGAAAAGCCATTAAACGGACACAATGGGGACATTACGCCTTAGCCGCGAATTTGTGCCCAACAGTCTCCAGTCAAAGACCAAAGGGAACATGAGCACAGGAGAAGTGGCTTTTAGCCATACGAGGGGCATTACGAATGTAGTCCTACCTACCTACCATCAGGCAAAAGTCGGCGGAAAAGAAAAATACGGTAAATATAAGTATATGCCAAAAGTTGTACTGGATTATAACCTCCCCGCATGGGTGGGATCGACAAAAAAGACCAGTTGCTGCAGGCCTTCCCCGTGGAGAGAGTTAGAAACCAAATCTGGTATAAAAAACTTAGAATAAGGAACTATTGTGGAACCAGAAATACAAAGTGTCATTGTGTTGTTGATTGTGCGTTTCCTTGGTCAATATCCCTGTAGGAACCTAGATAGGTATCCCTCATCGCAGAAGGCGAACTGGGACTTAGTACTAAACAGCGGGGTGTCAGACTGAGCTAGCTAAGACCACTAAGACGCCCCGTTGCAATGGCGCCCAACTGAATAACCTACAGAACTTACAGGGATCACCAGACCGCTAGAGACCAGCGAAAGACCAAAAAAGAACGCAACAAATTGGTAACCGTCAATGTTTCCAGCTTACATACATTTAGTACAGTCACAGTCATGGCACTCATGTCTTGTTAATATTATAGCAAGTAAAGCCTAAAACCAATGTTTTCCAAGAATATATTTTTTTTTATAATAATTTAAAATTAATAATTATCTTAAAACAAAATCTTACTAAAATTATAGTATGTACCAAGTATGTATCAATAAAATAATACCTCGTTATGTGAGGTTGATACCTTACTACTGGAGATCGTACCTAATTTTCACTTTAGACTATCTTTATCTCTTAGCTCTATTGCTATTTCATCCCCCGCATTCACTTCCGCACTATCGCGCTCTCTGTCGCACGCGCTGCGCGTGCCCTGACTGGCTCGTGCGTTTCGTTACATTCATCGCTAATCCAAGTACCCTTATGAACCCTTAACAACGGGCTTTGGTAAAATTAATTAGTTCACGTTGATTCGTCAGAGAAAAGCAATCATGTCAGCATCCAAGGTTAATTGTGTAGAATTCCCGAAGGAGAAGATTAGTGGCGATGGATATATTACAGAACTACTCAAGTTACCGCCGTATCTTCTATAGTAGCTGTTCCGGCTCGCCCAGATGACGGAAAGCTAATTGGCTTCAGCCAACGAGTTCATTTCAAGTGTTTATTATTTAATACAAAAAATTAATACTTCTATTATTGTTTGGCTGGCATACATTTAGTATGGAGACTGAAAACATTAAATTTTCGGATAGATCCAGTTAATTCTGTAACCTAATATTTGTACCGTTGCAGCGTTGTATAGAGCTTGTGAAGTACTTTCAGGATTAGTAATCAGTTTTTGGATATTATCTTGTATAGTTTGGAAATAATCCAATGAGATCACTTATGGTTTCCACCCTGTATGTATATGATAAAGCAAGAATCATCCTAGATGAGTCTGCCAAGATACCTACCTATCAGATATCAGATCTCCATGCTCAGCTATAAACAACAAAGTACCTGCAAAGATAAGAAACAGAGAATATCAAATGAATAAAATAAAAATATTTGTATGTAAAGCATGGGCACGTATAATAACCACAATCAAATAAATTTGATAATAGAGCTACTCCTACAAGAATGATTGGTTATGCGCCAAATGCATATTTATTGTGGAATCCTGAAACAGACGAAGTTACAGTATTAAGGGATGTGAGATTTGATGAGACAAATATAAGCCAAGGAATAAAATCGACCAGCAAATCAAGCACAAAATGATCCAGGCTAGTACCTTTTAACTACAAAACTTAACTAGTTTAAAACTATTTAAAGTACAAATGGCCCCATGGTCCTCTTACAATTTTCATTTTTTTTGTGAAAGGTACCACGATTAAAAATCATTAAGAGAAAGTAGTTATTTTAAATTGTTCTAAGCTTAAAAATTGGATACTCTGCGAAATCACCATGCATAGTCAATACTTGAATCAGGGCCACAGATTTTAGAAGATGCCGCACTTGAATGCATGACGAAGATGTATATATAAGTGCATATTGTGATGGGTACAACTTTTATATTAATCAATTTCCGCAATTTTTAGCAATTGAACTTAATTCTCCAAACCTCGAAAAAAGCTTAAAACGCGACTTCCAAATTTTCTCCACAAAAAAATACTTTTTTCAATAAAACTCACTAATCCATGTGTCATTGAGTTCTTGGAACACAAAAGACACTATAACCCTATAGTGAAGAGTCAGAATGGTTCATACGATAATTTAGAAGTAAAAATAGAAAAACAAAATAGTAATAATACTACAGTACTCACTGCGTTATCTATTCAATAAATTAAAAACTGTGGTAAATTCATTCATTAGTTTTAAGAAATAGCATATCGAATAGTTTGCCTCGGTGTACGCGGCGTGTTCGCTGCGTCGCCGTTCCGCTTTCAAAACGCTTGCAACGTGGTAAGGCTCTGAAGGTCAGAGGAGGAATACATAGCAAGTGGGTGTTTAAAGTCAAGAAAACTGAAGGTACAGAGATCTATAAAGCAAGACTGATGGCTAGAGGTTTTAAACTAGAAAACACCCCACAGGTTCACCCTTATCTTGTCAGTTGCTTATCAGAAGTGGACCTAGGTACCATAAATTGCATCCTTTGTTTCGTCGTTACCATGGATACCTCTGAGACCAAGAGCTACCTCGTTGTGGACAAAAAAAACGTCAGGAGATATGTCAAAGGCCGCATATCACTTGTGAAAAATGAGCTGGGGGACATTTTCCGCGTTAAATCCACCGCCATGTTGGATGTTGCCGCCGAACGAATTAGTAGTCTTTTTACGAGATCAGAGGACGTCAATCTCAATTTGGAATCGATGGATACTTGACCACCGAGGCATCGAAAATTGAATCATTGTAAATCATTTGTAGTTTGTTTGAATTTTGAACGTCCGTGGGTACTATAGTGCCATTTTTTTTACCGTAAACCGTCAGGGGCTCTACCTACGGTGCCCATGACGATGCGCGCTCTACTGAGTCTATAATTATAAATTTTACGACTTTTAGTTAAGTGACCCTTTGGATATGCTCTCATTAAATTTTTCATCAGCGCAAAGGCATCATCGCCCACAAAAACATATTATGGTATATTTATACCACCCGAAGTTAAGGGTTCTTCATCAGGAAATTGTAATTCATTAGTTAACATTTTCCCTTTCAAGACACTGTCTGCAAATATTCCACCATCACTAAATCGTCCTTTTGAGCCAACATCTATTATTCTGAACTTACGTGTAGCGTCAGCTACCGCTAGCAGCACAATAGAAAATGTGTGTTTGTAATTATAATAATCAGACCCTGAATTAGGTGGCACTCTAAAGGCCCCAGTACACAATGGCCCATGCGTGCCCACTACAGGCCATCGCCATTGTGTACAGGGGGTAATGGTATATGATGGCGGAGAATTGTCCATCGTGGCGCGCAATCGGGGAGTTGTCGGTTTTTTGGGCACACTTCAAAGGAATCGTGGCGTAGCGTGGCCTGTGGTGTTTACACAATCGGCCATTGTTTAGTTCGTCACCGGCCGCTGACCGGGATAGTACACTTTTGTGTTGCGTGCTATTGGCGTGGCGTGCGATCGTCCAAAATTTCAACAGCGTGGAGCAATGAAGAAACTTTCAAGTTTATTGATTTATATCAATCTGAACCCGCAATTTGGGACTCAAATAATGCACTGCACAAGGAGAAAAACAAGGTATGTTTATACTAATTTTATTTTGATAGAAATTATGCTATCTATACTTCTATACTAATATTAGGAAGGACTTAAATTATTGTTTGTTGGAATTGAATAGGCTCCGAAACTAATGTACCAATTTGAAAAATTCTTTTAGCATTAGAATCCTACATTATCCCTGATGAAAATAGGCGATAAAAGAGCCTCATCTGAAAATTTGGTTCAGAAGGTTATGTTCATATACCTGATGCAAGAAGAAGAAAACTTGATAGAAAAAGTGTGAAACTAATATTGGTTGGATATGAAAATGAAAATTATAGAATGTTTGATAATGAAAGTGGGAAGATAACAATAAGTAGAAATGTACACTTCAATGAGAACAATATACCGGTCCTGAGAAAAAATATTACTACAATTTCCATTACTGAGGAAAAAAATCAAAACGAAGAAAGTCCAGAAATACCAGGAGACAACCAAGATATTTCTGAATCAAGTTTTGAAAGTGTAGAGACACAAGAAGATCCCAATGACAGAACGTATGAGCCTTCGCAGATAATTTCGGAAGATGATACAATATAATCAGCATCGATTTATATGTTATAATTGCAACAAGAGAGGGCATTTCGCAAGAGACTGTAGAGCCCCAAAGAAATCTGAGAAGAAACCTCAAGAGCAAAGTATGCTTGCATTTAGTGCTGAACAATCAGAAACATCAGCTTCATCATGTGATGAATGGATTCTTGACAGTGGTGCTTCGTCACATATGTCATTCAGGAGAGATTATTTCTGTGAGCTAATAGAATATGGCCAGAATGGTAGCAATAAAAAAGTGATATTGGGAAATAATAAGGAGTTGGCAGTGCAGGGATGTGGAAACATATTGATTAGAAGATTTGTAAATGGCAAGTGGGAGAAAAGCATAATAAAAGATGTGCTTTATGTGCCAGAACTAGAAAAGAATCTGTTCTCAGAAGGTATGGCAGCTAGAAAAGGCTATGTTATTGTAAAGAAGAACAGAGAGGCCCTAATATTAAAAGACAATATTGTTGTAATGACTGCAACATTGAAACAGAACAATCTTTATGGACTGAACATTAAAACCTTATTGAATTTGACATTGAGTAAGAATGGTGCAANTGATCTATTTACGTCTGACAGGCAGGGCTGCCAGACGAAAAAAAAAAGATATCTTCTAACTAGATTTAATCGTGCTCTCACATAGGATGAGTCCCACCGATTCCTTTTGTATATGGCACAATCCATAATATCTGCTTGTCGCACCTGTACTCCTTTGTCCATTTGTCTTTTTGATGAGGATTCTGGTTTTAATTTTTGTTCATGTAAAGATAACTTCCTCTTCTTCTCGCGAGACACACTTGGTAAAATACTCGGAGAACATGGAGGAGATCCATCGTCACTAGGCATGTTAATTAAGTAGTTAATATTATCTCGAATGGATTAACTTAGCTAGCCAAGAAATCACCAGTTAGATAATGATTGACAAGCTACAAAATAGTAAAATATTTTAACTACCCACAACATATTGTATATTATTTTAACTTCGAGATAAACAACCAGTAGCAAAGTACGGATGGAGTACAACTAGCTTAAAAAAAAGTATCACATTCTTAGAAATGATAGTTATTCGCATTCGCTACTGCCATCATCAGTATCAGCAGAATCGTCTTCTGAGCAATCGCTCTGTGATTCATCTAAGCTTGTTGATGGAGTGACAACAATGTTGACATTGGGGGCTTTTATTAAGTCCAGCACTTCTGTAGGAAACGAACCCTTATTTTTTTTGGAATCTCCCGTAAACTGTTGATAACAGGATCTGATGTTATTAGTAACATAGATAGCATATCAATATTCGTAGAAATGCGGGAACATCTTCGAGAATGATGCTGTCGAAAACGGCGGCAATCCTTGTTACGGGCCTCTTGCGCTTCTGATAGCTGGCCAATCGGCAAAATAAAATGTTCAATGATTTCTTTACTGTGTACCAAGATCTTGTGTACTGTAGGAGGCATAAAATACCACGAATAATGCTGTAAATACAATGATCGAGTTTCACGAGCAAGTTTTTCAAATTTTTCCAAATTAATTTCATATCCCGATGATAGTGCCCTGAGCAAGAAGCTAAAGTTTTTTATTAAGTTCTCATTCAATCCAGTAATTTTTGCACTCAACTAAGGATTTTGAAAAAATCTTCGTGCAGTGTTGCCATCATTTGTTGATCCGTAACCCGCTTTGGGTTTATCTATAATGAGACCCAACTTATTTTTAAATAATTTTTTTATTTCATTGATCTTTGCTCCACAGAAGCTTTGTGATCTGCTCCTCGTGCTTGCCATGTTTTGATGTCTAGGCGATAACTAATATGCAACAAACATTCAAAGCATCTCAGTAAAGCGTGTAAAGTAGACAATCCAAATCCGACTTTATCTGGATCAACAATTTTATATTCTTTATTCTCATCATTTAATTGTTTTGATGTTAATCCACAGAGATAACATCTGAGTGATGAGGATGTTTCAGTGATAGCGTTGCATACCTTTCCATCAATCATGGTTAAATGCATCTCATGTTTTACAGAAATTTCTTTTTCATTTACTTTGTCGGAATCAAGTGCTTAATTTCTTCTAAGATTTTATTGGTTTCAAGAACTGTTAACTCAGTATTTTCTTTGGCGAAAATGAATTTTATCGGACGACAATACATCGTCGATGAAGGACGTGGATTCTGCCAAATAATGTTATCAATTTCATGTAATCGAAGAGGCACAAACGAAAACGCGAACAAAAATTCGTCAGTATCATTAGGATTTGTGAATTTTTGTTTGTACGTGCTGTATCCTGAGCTCCCATCACAACCCCATTTGCTTACCAACGTTAATGCTGAGCTGGATAAAATTTCAAAAACGTCTCTTTGAGCGATAATAGGACGTTCTGCGGTTAAGTTTAAAACTGCTTGAAGTGTTATTTCTACTCGTGTTTCGCTGGTAGAAATACACTCTTTAGGGGGGTAGCAAGAAGTTTTTGCTTTTTTTACATTGTAATAGGACGGATACACATCGTGACCCGCTTTTAACACAAAATATAACAGAAGGTAAACTCATGTATGTACCTCGCTTTGTATACCTCTCTCGCTCGCACGCTCGGCCGTCGCGCTAGGGTTGTCTTGTCATGTGTTGCGTTTATTTCGTTATGATAGAAAAATGTTACTCTTAATACTATGCAAGAAAGACAATAACAGATATCCACGTATACCTACTTATTTATATTTAGTACGTTATTATTTGCAAACAAATACACGAGAAGGAAGTAGTATTTAGTTGAGTGGTTGACACTATTATCCAACTAATATTATAAATGCGAAAGTTTGGATGTCTGGATGTTTATTGCTCTTTCACGCAAAAACTACTGAACGGATTTTGATGTAACTTTACAGTATTATTGTTTATAACCCTGAATAACATATAGGCTATAATTTATGACGATCTGTGACTAACTGTTAGCTAGTTATCCAATAATTCCTAAAACCTCTCTAAAACAATTCGATATTACTAATAATTGAGTTGGCTTTCAATTTCAATTGAAATTCAAATAAATAACTTACTTACCTCCCCGAATCAACTGGTAATTTAAAAAATGAAAATTCGGTATTTAACCCTCGCTGTACGAGGTGGGGTGTGACACACCCCAGTCCTTTAAAAATAGCCACAATTTTAAAAATTTGCAAGTGCTGAATTTGAAATTCTCAGTAGCTGGAATTATGACACTGCTGCTTCGATCAGCGTTGCAAAATCAGTCCAGCGGTGACTACCAACTGAGTTACATGCCTTTAAAGTGCGTGTGGGTGTCACACACCCCACCTGGTACGGGACGTTGTTAAAAAGTTTAAAAAAAAATCTAACAGTTTTGGTGTAATTTATATATTTTTAGCTTTGTCAATTGAATAAAATTCAATACAAATATTATTTTTCGTGATTTTTACGGTATCTGAAATTTTCAAGCACTTTTAGTCAAATGAGATGACTTTTAGTGCGAATCTGGAAGTTTAGTACTGAGATCCGAAGATGTATGTGAACATACACTTATGGGCTACAATTTACACTTGATGATACAATTTATGGGCTACTGAAATGAAATAACATATTTTATAAATAAATAAAATTGTTACGCTCCTATTTTATGCATTGAGCATACTCATTTTCTTTCATCAGAATTGTGGTAAATTGAAAGTCGATGATCAAAACAAATTTATACCCTTCCAGTTTTTAATTTTCTTTTAAATTATAAGTAAATACTTGTACTTTGTTAAATAAAAACGGTTGTCATAATTAAAGGCACTAATTAAAAATTATACATGGGAAACTGATTCCTAAATTACAAGAACAACGGAAATTGTGTCTTTTTGTTTTTTTATGATAAAAATGTTATAATGCATATGTTCAGCTCAGAACATTTCTTAAACCTAATTAGCATACGTAAATAATAAATATTAAATATTAAATTCCACCTAAAAAAATGTTGAATGTGTTGACGCGAGACTACACGCAGCGCCAGCGCCCTCTCGCGTCGCACACCGCGTTTCGGCCGCAGTCGTCTCGAGCGACGGTTCTAAATTTATATTTTTCTCTTCCGATTCACGGCGCCGCGCCGACCGCACGTGTCCCTACGTTAATCTTGTAATAGTATCAAAGTTATCAGAGTAAATAACTTTAAATTCATAAAATCTTTTATTGCACACTCGTGTAACTACATCGTGTCGCTGTCAAGACCCCTGCCTGAACATTTCTTCGAGCCGGATGAGGAGTGGAATTTACCGCGTGCCTCGTTGTAACCTCCAACTGACCTGTCGCCACAACGTGCAACCACGTCGGGCGGGTTTTGTGCAGCGGCCGGAAGATTACATCGAGACCATAATAATTACAACGAATACTTCAAGCATTAGAAAACACAGAAATCATAAAATAAACCAAGAAGGTCGACATATATACTTCGGACGGCGCCATACTTACCACGCAGTGAGAGTGAGAACCTCTTGTGAGTTCGTTCCATTTTCCATACTATTTCCCCTAATATTTTACCAGTTTTATCCAATATTCTTTCTAATTTTATTGCTAAATCCAATTCATTTGTATTTCCACACAAATTAATCCTTATTTTAGCCACCAAGTGCTTCTACATTGTGGATACCTGTGATACTTTTCACTATTTCATGGCAATAATCACAATAGTTTTCATTCCCCCACAAGTTAATTAATATTTTTTCAGCTACCTAGTGCTCATAGATTGTGGACACCTGCACCAGTATTTGTGATATTTTGAATCTCACATTCAATTTCATTCCAGATCGTTTCGTGCGCATTGGATTGCGCTTTGTATTGCGAACAGCGCGTTCCCGCGTGGCCAAGGTCACGCGCGCCTGCGCCTGCCGTGCCTCGCTCGCTTGCCGCGCCACGCCGCGCTTGCCCCACGCCACGCTTACCTTCACGCGCACCTATTCACACCCTCATTTGCACCGTGATTTTCTGCTTGCAGTTAAAATTTAAGTATTCCTTGCTATTCACAAACTTTCATTGATTGTAAATTGTTTTTTTTGCATTTTAACTTTAGTGGATTTCAGTTTCAATTACAATGGATCTCAAAACATTGAGAAAAACACGAGGTACATATAAGGCAAAGCTAACTTTGTTTAAACAATTTTTAGATTTAATTCAATCTTGTGAAATTCTTAATAGTTTACAAATTAGAGAATTATCGAACCGCCTCCAAATAATAAAATCGATGTATAATGAGTTTGATACCAACCAAACTCACATAGAAACTTTATGCGAAATTCCAGATGACGAATTGAAGGAAAGAGAAACCTTCGAGACGAGCTTCCACGCAGCAGTCGCCTCAGCGGAGGAGTCGCTGGCCAGAAACACCAAGCAGTCCGGCGGGCTCTCCTCGGCGGGCGATGATGGGTCACAGGTGACAGGTTCTGGTACTGCAATAGCGGCCGGGCCTCCTTCACTTAAACTTCCTACTATTAATTTACCCACCTTTTCTGGTCGTTATCATGATTGGTTAGGGTTTAGAGATTCGTATATTTCGCTCATTCATAATAACAATTCGATACCTAAAATTCATAAATTTCACTATTTGCGTGCCTCTTTAAAAGACAGTGCCTCATTGATTATACAATCAATAGATTTTTCTGCTGAAAATTACGAAATAGCTTGGGGTTTAATATGTGACAGGTACAATAACAAAAGATTACTTGTCAACAATCATATAAAGGCATTATTTGACTTAGAAATGATAATTCGAGAATCATCCAGATCGTTGCGTAACATGATAGATACCGTTAACAAAAATCTTAGATCGTTAAAGACGCTCGACTTGCCCACAGAGCACTGGGATGTGTTGATTATACACATGGTTTCTAGTAAACTTGATCCAATCACTTCTCGCGAGTGGGAAGAGGAGAGAAATAAAATTAAAGATATGCCATCATTACAACAATTCATTACTTTCGTTAAAAATCGCGCAGATTTACTGGAAACCATGGAAATATCACAGCACAAACCACGTCGACACAGTGACGTCACACACACCCGTCCTAAGACATTCATAGCATCATCTACCTCAAACATGACTCAATCTTCGTGTCCTATGTGCAAGGGTAGTCATTCTATTTATCAATGTTTTCGTTTTAAGTCGCTTCCAATAGAAACTCGAATTACAAAGGTTAAAGAATTTAAATTGTGCATTAATTGTTTGCGCAAGGGACATGAAATTGAAAAATGTACACTGGGTCCGTGCAAAATTTGCTATAAAAAACACAACAGTCTATTGCACCTTGAAGGACGGAACAATTCGAAGAGCCTACCAGAAGTAAAGTCAAGTTCTTCTCCTGGGTGCGTAGTACTATCCACATCCAAGGGTAACTCACAGCCTGAGGCTCAGTCTCAAGTAATTAATGATAGCGAGATCACGTTATCATCATGCACCCAACATAGTCAAGTTTTACTTTCGACAGTTCTAATTGGTGTTAAAGATATTGAAGGCAAAACTCACAAGGTGCGAGCATTGTTAGATAACGGTAGTACCTGCAATATCATCACAGAACAATTACAGTGCAAACTCAAACTTCCGAGTCAACAGACTCAGGTCTCCGTACAGGGACTATACAATCAACATTCACAAATTACAAAAAGATGTGATGTTGACATTCATTCATTAATGGACAAGGAATATAAACGAAAAATAAATTGTTTTATTGTACCTTGTGTCACTCAAATACTACCATCACATAAAGTCAACACAAACTCATTCAACATTCCACAGCACATCCACCTTGCAGACCCCACGTTCCATACGCCATCCGAGGTGCAGATGTTGCTAGGAGCCGACCTCTTTTGGGAGGTGCTCCGAAATAACCACATTTCCTTAGGAAAAAACAGGCCAACTCTAAATGAAACAAGGTTAGGTTGGTTGGTTTCAGGTGTCAGTCCGACCCAGGTACGCAATTCAAAAAATAGTAATTTATTTACTAACATTCAGTCATCATCACAATATACTATGCATTCTTATCATTTATCTCATTCAGATTCTGAGTTGCAGAAAAAACTCGACCATTATTTTCAATGCGAATCATTCGCTGATCCACCTCGTCTCACTAAAGACGAAATACAATGTGAAACCATTTTCACAGAAACTACAACTCGTCAACCAGACGGTCAATTTGTAGTTACCATTCCATTAAAGTTGTCACCTAGCCACTTAGGAGACTCATACGAACAGGCACGTGTTAGATTTCTCGCTTTAGAGCGAAAGTTCAATCGAGAGCCATCTTTTAAAGATAAATATATTATTGTGAATTTATGTCAGATTATATTCATTTGGGCCATATGACAGAAAACAAAACATTATCAAGCGATAACAACGCTTACTTTCTGCCGCATCACGGCGTACTAAAAGAAACAAGTTTAACAACCAAACTCAGAACCGTTTTCGATGCATCAGCAACTACCACGTCAGGTTATTCTTTGAACGACATTCAGTTCATCGGCCCCACAGTGCAGGATGATTTAATAAATATTTTGATTCGTTTCAGGCAACACAAATATATAGTAACTGCTGACATAGAGAAAATGTACCGTATGATTCTTGTCAGCCCTCAACAAAGATCATTGCAACAAATATTATGGAGGTCGGATCCCACAGAACAAATAAAGGTTTATAAACTAAACACGGTTACATTTGGGTGTGCCTCATCTCCTTTTCTTGCCACTAGGTGTCTCAAACAATTAGGCCAAGATTGCTTAAATAACATAAACACAAAACCCACACAACATAATCAGATTAACACATTAACTGCCACATCCATTTTACACGACTTTTACATGGATGATCTAGTGACTGGCAATGATAATTCAGCGTTATTGGTTGACATTTGTAAAGAGATAAATAATAATTTAAAGGGTGCCAATTTTTATCTTCGAAAGTGGAAATCAAATAACAAAGATATTTTGAATGAAATTCACGAGCTTGATAAAACCAATGATGATCCTTTACTTATGTTAAATAATGATAAACTTTCTAAAACTTTAGGTATTTTGTGGGACAATCAAAATGACACTTTATTATTTTCATCATTGCCGATCACTGACACCAACACACCACACCAAACGAAACGGTCTGTTCTGTCTCAAATTGCGCAAATATTCTACCCTTTAGGTTTAATTAACCCTTGCTTACTACAAGCCAAAATAATTTTACAAAAACTATGGGCAAACAACCTAGCTTGGGACGACACGATTTCACCTGACTTGCAAAGGCAATGGGATGAATTCCTTAAACATCTATCTTCTCTTGACAATATACAAATACCACGTCATGTTATATGCGATTCTCCAATACAGATTCAACTTCATGTATTCAGTGACGCATCTATGCATGCGTATTCAGCATGTGTTTATATTAGAAGTGTCTCCGCTGATGGTTCTGTTAGTGTACATCTTTTAATTGCAAAATCCAGAGTAGCTCCCTTCAAGAAAAACTTAACAACTCCCAGATTAGAGCTAGAAGGGGCTTTACTTGCTACAAGATTAGCAAAAAAGGTAAAATCCTCACTCAGAATTCAAATAGATGTCGTAAATTATTGGTCGGATTCGACTATTGTTTTGGGTTGGATTAAAATGCCTAAGTCTAAATTAAAACAATATGTGTATAACAGAGTGACTGAAATCACAGATAATACACAATCCACAAGTTGGTATCACGTTCCCACTTCAATGAACCCTGCTGATATTGGTTCTCGGGGTTCGAATCCACAACAACTTAGTAACAAAAACAACACAATTTGGTTTTCAGGTCCAGATTTTCTCCACCAGACTGAAATACTCATGCCACCACAACCACTCAACAACAATGACATTATATTACCGGAAATAAAATCACATTGTCATTTTTTAAACGATCCAATTGATAATAACATTGATAATTTTATTAAACGCTTTTCCAATTTTTCTAAATTATTGCGAATTTTTGCTTATGTTTTGAGATTTATACATAATTGTCGCCATTCGCTTAAGAAAACTAAAGGTTATCTGCAAATAAATGAATTTAACTGCGCCGAAAGGCTTTTGTGTGCTCTTGTACAAAGAGATATGTTTCCTAAACAGTATAGATTGTTACAGAATAATGACAAGTTGCCGCTTAAAGATAAATTACTCAATTTAAACCCAATTATGGATCAAACAAATGTAATGAGAGTGGGTGGAAGATTATCAAATTCAAATAATACATACGACACTAAACATCCAATCATACTACATGCCAATCATCATGTCACACAATTGATAGTTCAACACTACCATAAAATATTGTTACACGCTGGTCCACAACTCATGCTATCCACATTAAGACAAAGGTATTGGATTATCGGTGGACGTAACCTAACTAGGAAAATTGCACGCAATTGCATAACATGTTGTCGATTTTCTAATAAAAGCATTCAGCCTATAATGGGTAATCTGCCAAAAGAAAGATTGCATACTGATTTTCCATTTCAGAACACTGCTGTCGATTATGCTGGTCCAATCATGATAGCGGACAGAAAGGGCCGCGGTTGTAGGTTGCAAAAGGCCTACATATGTGTATTTGTTTGCCTCGCTGTACGAGCAGTTCACATAGAACTTGTCACCGAGCTAAGTACAAACGGTTTCCTTGCCTGTCTCAATCGATTCATCGCTCGTCGGGGTAGGCCGTGTAAGATTTTTTCCGATAATGGAAAGAACTTTGTGGGCGCTTGTAATGAATTATCAAGGTTTTTGAAAATGAAATCCAATGACATTTCGATTTATGCAGCAGAAAATCAAATAGAATTTAAATTTTCTCCCGCTTATAGCCCCCATTTTAATGGTTTAGTAGAGGGTTGTGTAAAGGCAATTAAATTTCATTTAAAACGAGTCATAGGTCTTACTAATTTGACATATGAAGAAATGACAACATTACTGGTGCAGGTGGAGGCAATTTTGAACTCTAGGCCGCTCACTCCTCTTTCTTCAGATCCTTCTGATCTAGTTGCCCTCACTCCTTCACATTTCCTTTTGGGACGAACCATAGGGATGACCACCTCACTCGTGAGTAACGAGCAGGAGGCCAATAACATCTCTACTCTCACAAGATTTAAGAGAGTAGAATATTTGAAATCCCAATTTTGGCGGAGATTTAACACTGAGTACATTTCAGAGCTCCAGTTGAGAAACAAGTGGCGCGGGCACGCAGATGGTCTGCGTCTGCACCAGATGGTGGTGGTCAAGGATGACCGCTTACCACCCAATCGATGGCTGTTGGGGCGCATCTCTCATCTCTACCCTGGGACCGACGGCGTCACCCGCGTTGCTGACGTCACCACCACATCGGGGGTCGTTCGACGAGCGTACAACCGACTGATCCCTCTACCACTGTTGGACCAAGATGCTCCAAGGCCGGCAGCATGTTGACGCGAGACTACACGCAGCGCCAGCGCCCTCTCGCGTCGCACACCGCGTTTCGGCCGCAGTCGTCTCGAGCGACGGTTCTAAATTTATATTTTTCTCTTCCGATTCACGGCGCCGCGCCGACCGCACGCGTCCCTACGTTAATCTTGTAATAGTATCAAAGTTATCAGAGTAAATAACTTTAAATTCATAAAATCTTTTATTGCACACTCGTGTAACTACATCGTGTCGCTGTCAAGACCCCTGCCTGAACAGAATGAAAATTTTATCACTTTGTATATTGGGGTGTGTCATTGCAAGAAAGGATTTTTTCCTGGCGGCTCGGTGAAAAAAATCTGAACTTTCAAGTTACAGATAAAGCACCGAGGCAAAACTGTAGCAGATACCCGACAACTCGATTGTGTCCAAAAAAAAATTTGCTAAAAGAATCTACCGTTAATAAATTCCTAACAGAAAACTACACAATACGATTGTGTCCAAAAAAAAAATTTTGCTATAAAAGAATNTCGGGGAGTTGTCGGTTTTTTGGGCACACTTCAAAGGAATCGTGGCGTAGCGTGGCCTGTGGTGTTTACACAATCGGCCATTGTTTAGTTCGTCACCGGCCGCTGACCGGGATAGTACACTTTTGTGTTGCGTGCTATTGGCGTGGCGTGCGATCGTCCAAAATGTCAACAGCGTGGAGCAATGAAGAAACTTTCAAGTTTATTGATTTATATCAATCTGAGCCCGCAATTTGGGACTCAAATAATGCACTGCACAAGGAGAAAAACAAGGTATGTTTATACTAATTTTATTTTGATAGAAATTATGCTATCTATACTTCTATACTAATATTAGGAAGGACTTAAATTATTGTTTGTTGGAATTGAATAGGCTCCGAAACTAATGTACCAATTTGAAAAATTCTTTTAGCATTAGAATCCTACATTATCCCTGATGAAAATAGGCGATAAAAGAGCCTCATCTGAAAATAATAAATGTAGTATTGTGGTGTTTTCAGGTGAATGATGCATGGAATCGCATTGCAGACTCCCTGCAAATTCCTGTTTCGGAACTTAAAAAAAAGAAAGAGACATTGATGTCCGCATTTCGGATGCATTTCAAGAAAAAACAAGATTCGATCCGATCTGGTATGGGAGAAGATGAAATTTACAAGCCAATTTGGATTTTTTATGATGCCATGGAGGCATTTTTAAAAGGCAAATACACTGCTATAAGTGTAATTTCAACAGATGAGCAAAGGGTAAGTAAAACAATTAATTAGTTTCAAATTTTTTTATTAATAAGTAACTAAGTATTTACTCATTTTGATTTCCACAAATTATAAACTAATTAAATTATGCATCATAGGCCCTACCATTGCATAGTCTTCTTTGATGGATGTAATTCATAAAATTTGATCTTATTTGCGTAGCATTAATAGGAGCCCGACGAGGTACAGATTGTAATGGTAATAGATTTTCTTCATGGTTTACTCTCATACCTACATGGATTAATTCACCATTCCTATCATAGCTGTCAGTACTGCCTGGTGGAGTATAAATATTGCGAGATGATTTGCTCTTTCTTAAAAAAATGTGTAGTAATAAACAGCTGTGGGTTATAATAGAAGTTTTAACGACATCTAATGGAATAGGCCTTTTAAATACTCTAAAAACTGACGATAATATCCCGAAAGTATTCTCTACGACCGCACGAGAACGTGATAGTTGTTGATTGAACATTCTTTCTGGGGTACCCAACTGATGATGTCCAGGAAAGGGCTTCATAATATGAGTACTAAGAGCAAAAGCGCCATCACCCAGAAAAACATAAGGCATATTAGTATTACTTCCAGGAAGTGGGCAACTAGGTGGTAAATTAAGGGTCCCATCACATATTTTTTTCCACAAATTGCTTTGATTTAAAACACCTCCATCACTAATTCTCCCTTGGCTTCCTATGTCAGCAAACAAAAAACAGTAATCACTATCTACTAGGGCTAATAAAACGATGCTGAAACTTCCTTTGTAATTAAAGTATTCAGATGACGGTATGAGCTGGTGCTAATATGGTAATATCCTTCCCATCTATCGCGCCAAGACAATGTGGAAAGCTGAATCCTTCCGTTTTGGTCAGCCATTCTTCAGGACTTGTGGGAATCTGAAAAAATAAATATATTTTTTTCAGGCAGTCATTGGAGAACAGACAGAAGAAGAAACGGAAAATCCAAGTGATGCTAGAAATAACACAGAACCAAAGGACATGAATATAAAGATACCTGTACAGAGGAGACGTTCAGTTAAGCCACCTGAGTTAGAAAAAGCAGATAAGAAAATGTCAAAGGCTTTTAATACGTTAAACCAGGCTATTCTCAATAAAGACCAACAAAATAAAAAAGAGGACGACTGCGACTTGTATGGGAGGCTTCTTGCTAGCAAACTCAGAAAATATTCAGACAATGAGAGACAAGAAATAATGTACGAAATTGATGGATTACTATTAAAACGCCGTCGCAATTGTAGTCCTCAGTACGTGTCTTCACCTTCTCAAATCATTATAAGTAAACGTCCGTCTTCTTCAGCCACCAGCTATTCTTGTCCATCACCGTCGTCATCTTGGATCAATCGCCCCTCATCGTCTTCAAATCATTATATTACTTCTCCTATACAAAGCCCATCACCTATTCCACCTGCGCAAACTCCATCCCCTTTTCCACTTACTGAACTCCCTAATGCCTCATACACACAAGAAGTAGTTTATCAATCCCCCAACATAATCCATACACCTGTCCCTACGATCCATATACCTGAGGGATCCATGCAAACAATTTGTAACGAATTGTATTCTCAGACACAGAGTCAGTCTCAAAACATTTTGGCTGATGCTTATGCAAAAGCTTTGAATGACGATTGTTAAAATAACCAATTAAAAAAATGTAATAGGGCAATAATTATTGATTAAAAAATTTAAAGTATATACAAATGTTTTACTAACTCACCTTAATCATGTCCTTTAGCACTTGGTTCAGAGCCAAACATACTTCAGGAATAATTCTAGATATGAGTGTACTTGATATTTTAAAATGGTAGTGCAGGCTCCTATAACTGTCTCCAGTCGCAAGAAATCGCAATGTCAATGCCAATCTTATTTTTGGAGGTATTGCTTCTCGCCAATATGTATCCTTTTTTGCAATAATTGGCGATATTTTTTGCAATATATACTCGAAATCACTAGATGACATACGAACAAAGTTATCGAATTCCCCTGATGGTTCTGCAACAAGGTCGCTTAACAGATTGTCCATGAATTGCCTGAAAATGGTAAAAAAAAAATCTTAGTCATGTTCTTTACGTTAACATTCTAAATATTAATATCATAACCTAAGTACCACATTAAAAAATCTACGTACCTTGTCCTGTTTCGATGAATGGTCAGCATCCACCATCGCCTTTTTCGCCATTTCTTTTTAATAACTTTGTGACGGTACACACTTCTGTAATACTTGTAAACAGTATACAAATAAATAGCTGCAGCCGTAATTACTTCGACGTCCATCGCAAGTGGTTTGCCAGGCAGCAATGAGCCATGCGCCATTGTGTGAACACCAAGTGATCGTGGCCTACCATTGTGCATTGCAAAGCGTGGCCCATCACAGGCCATTGTGTACTGGGGGCTTAAAATAATCTCTTCTTACGATTCACGGCGCTGCGCCGACCGCACGCGTCCCTACATTCATTTTGTAATAATATCAAAGTTAACCAAAGTAAACAGCTATATTTCATAAAATCTTTTATTGCACACTTGTGTACTCGTGTCGCTGTCAAGACCCCTGCCTGAACAATATTGACATTCATTCCTAAACAATTTTTAATTTGGCCTAAATCATTAATTTTGCTTCTCTCACATTTCAAATTATCACAAGTATGTTCACAGTTATAGAATTACCTAATTCAAAATGTAGGAATAGCAGTCATTCAACAGTGATGCGTGGCTATTGGTAGACAAACCAGTGAATAAGACAATTGTTAAGTGCAAGTGGGTTTTAAAGAAAAAGTTAAATAGTGAAAGTGAATTGAGATATAGACCTAGGCTCGTGGCAAAAGTATTCAAGTCAGAAACCAGGTATAGACTTTAAGGAAACCTTTTCCACCAAACCAGTGCTCAGGTACTCCACTTTGAAGCTACCATTTGCTTTCTTAACCTAAATATTTGATGACCCTTTGTCTACCCCCCCAGCCAATTGTGTACCAAGGTGTGTACACATCGATCAATTTGCCATATTAAAAAAAATAATTATCCTCTCAATAAAAAGTAAAAAGTTAATCAATGTATAATATGTTCTTGAATCTCAGATAAATGTATAGTTGGTTGATGTTTTTAGAGTCTTAAACTGGTACATGGAAAAAAAGTTATGACGTCTCAAACTTTTCCTGGCTTATTAATGCCACCCCTACCCTACGACCATTTCTTTAGATACATCAATTCAGTCAAGTTTTCTACGAATTTTGAATTTGAATTAATTGCTTTATGTCTATATTACCCGTTCGCTATGGCCATTGATTAATCACTTTCACATCAAGTGGTGCGTCTAGAAAAATAATAATTTGTTGCAATATTTTTTATGATTATGATTTAACTCTTATATAATTGCATGTAAAATGATAATCTTGTTGGTAAATCTTTATAAATAATATTACTTAGGTATTGTGGTTATTCTTTCCATCCCTTTAAAATTTAAACTTTTTTTTTCAGGAAAATCAGAGAGTATGGTTAGAGGCGCATAGTCAACGAAGGTTTTCAGAATAATGGAAAATTTGGAATTCCTGGGAAACACAGAGGCAAGGCCGACCAAAGAAAGAAATGGATGATTTTAATATTTGTGCTCTGCGCCAAAAAATAGTACAAGTTTTACAAAACAATAAAACTTGTATTATTGAGCAGAGACGATGCACAGCATCTGGTGAGAGATGCGTCTACTTCCGGTGTAGTTTTTTACCATTTTATACCTTAAATGACGTCATTTCCGCAATAATTTAATAGGAATTGATTTGACTTACTTCCGTTTGCCGCCATTTTAGTCACCTGGGGGCGATCTTGCTCGGAGTTCTTCATAGAGAGCTCACCAGGAGGCCTTCTTGGGATGCTGTGCATCGTCTCNGTGGCCCATCACAGGCCATTGTGTACTGGGGGCTTAATAATAACGTGTTTGCCATCTATATCACCGCAGCAATGGACAAACTGGCACGTTTCTTTAAAAACTGTGTTAAATGCTAAAAAAAACTACGGGACAAGTAACGGATTCTAAATCAAAATGGAAATACGAACATTTGATGGAGTTTTGAATTCCATACACAAAAAATAGATATCGACTCTTCACGTACCACACGTAAAAATTATGTGGGACTTAATATTAGAAAGTGCACTCTTAAAGTTCCTCCGGGCCACTCACCCGGAGGTTTTCTCCGGGTTTAAAGCCAACATACGGGCAAAGTCCCTCGCAAGCTGGAGCGTATGAGGAGCCTGCTCCTGCTTCCCCGTCATGTCCCGAGGACGCCCAGTGCGATCCTAACTCGGCCCCGCTACCAATCCCGCTCACGAACGAGCACTCTATTGTCATAGAGCACCAATCCCATGCCCCCAGTAGGGACATGGAGTGCGATTTTCCCGTCTCGGACGCCGACGAGGATGGTTTCACCACCGTCAGTCGTTCGAAGAGGACCCGCAAATCCGCGGCCTCTCCCCCTCCTTCCCCCCCTGCGAAGGCGCTGAAGGCCAACTCGGGCCTCTCTCAGCCCTCCGGCTCGCAGTCGAGCACTGGGCGGACTGCCAGAGTCCCCCACAGTCTTTGTCCAGGTCAAGGCGTCCTGGAACAAGATTTCCGGCGCGCTCAAGGAGCGCCACATAAACTTCTCGCACGCTAAGTCGTGCAATTTAGGCATTAAGGTGTCTTTGTCCACCTCGGACGAGCACCGAGCCCTAACACGCTTCCTCGATGAAAACCGTATCGGTTACCATACTTTCCCCCGCGATGAGGAAAGGGAGCTGCGGGTTGTTATACGTGGCATTCCCAAGGAGCTAGACTCCGCCTCCATCTTGGCCGACCTTAAGGCCCAAAATTTCCCCGTCAAACAGGTTCTTCGTCTGTACAGGACTCGTACACGTGAACCATTTGACCTTGTCCAAGTAGTCTTGGACTATTCCAACGAAGCGAAATCGATTTTCAATTTGAAATCGGTTTGCTTCATCTCCGGGCTCAAAGTTGAGCCACCCCGAAAGCGCGGCGCTCCCAGCCAATGCCACCGCTGCCAACATTACGGGCACGCTGCCCGTAATTGTCACGCCCGTCCTAGGTGCGTCAAGTGCCTAGGCGATCACGGCACAGCCGACTGTGTCCGTGACAAGGCCACAGCCACCGAACCACCGAGCTGCATACTGTGTGGTATTGAGATAAAAGTTAATAAATAAAATAAATAATAAATAAATATTCTTAGACATTTTACACTGCGCTTCTAGTCCCAAACTAAGCAAAGCTTGTACATAATACTAAGTATTAAACATACATACTTAAATACTTTTTTTTGTAAATACCTACTTACTATACATAGAAAACACCCAGTCCAATACAAATAAATATGTTTATGCACACAAATGTTTGTACTGTGCGGGAATCGAACCCGCTACCTCCGTAATAGTAGTCCGTTTCGAACCACTACACCAAACGGCCGATAATACAAACCTAGAATTTAAAGTCTCGCATAATGTATTAATAATGCACGTTGAACTTTCTTCTCTCACTCTCTCTCATTTTAAATGAATTTATGATTACACTAATAATTGTTATTTAATTTGAAATCTACCTAATCAATTTAATTTCAAAAACCACTTACAATAGTGTTAAAAATCTAGGTTTATTATAGATTCAGTAAAATAATAATATTTTATGTAATATCGAATAAATGTAATTTTAAATATAATTCCATATTTTACTAAATCAATATCAACTAAACACACTCTAGTCAAGTGTAAGTGGTGTAGTAGAAACTAATCGAGTATAGTTTGGATATGACTTTTTTTACTGAGCTCTTCCGAACTATACACGATCAGTACGCAAAATTCGTGTATAGTTTGGAGTCACAGATTTACAAACGGGCACTACAAAATATACACGAGCAGTTTCCTATGGGTGCGTTCTGGCCATGTATAGAACGGAAAGACGCACTCAAGTTAGTTACCAAAGCAAAGTACCCACCTACCCAGAAAAAAAAAATCCTAAGTCCTACGACTGATAACCTTGGCATAACTATAATTTCAAAAAAAACTTCCTTAAAGAAGGTAGCCTAATAAAATTGCAACGGGGCGTCTTAGCTAGCTCAGTCTGACACCCCGCTGTTTAGTACTAAGTCCCAGTTCGCCTTCTGCGATGAGGGATGTGTACCTATCCAGGATGCCTACAGGGATATTCGACCAAGGAAACGCACAATCAATAACACAATGGCACTTATAATTCAGGTTCCACAATAGTTTACTTATTCTAGTTTCACTGACTCNATCCGCGGCGAAGGCGCTGAAGGCCAACTCGGGCCTCTCTCAGCCCTCCGGTTCGGCTCGCAGTCGAGCACCAGGCGGACTGCCAGAGTCCCCCACAGTCTTTGTCCAGGACAAGGCGTCCTGGAACAAGATTTCCGGCGCGCTCAAGGAGCGCCACATAAACTTCTCGCACGCTAAGTCGTGCAATTTAGGCATTAAGGTGTCTTTGTCCACCTCGGACGAGCACCGAGTCCTAACACGCTTCCTCGATGAAAACCGTATCGGTTACCATACTTTCCCCCGCGATGAGGAAAGGGAGCTGCGGGTTGTTATCCGTGGCATTCCCAAGGAGCTAGACTCCGCCTCCATCTTGGCCGACCTTAAAGCCCAAAATTTCCCCGTCAAACAGGTTCATCGTCTGTACAGGACTCGTACACGTGAACCATTTGACCTTGTCCAAGTAGTCTTGGACTA